TAGACCCTGGCAAACCTGACTAAAATGAGGAAGAAAAAACCCAAATTAGTAGAATCAGGAATGCAAAAGGGGAGATAACAACAAACACCATGGAAGTCCAGGAAATCATCAGAGACTACTTTGAGAACCTATATTCAAATAAATTTGAAAATCTAAAAGAAATGGACAGATTTCTAGATACATATGATCATCCAAAACTGAACCAAGAGGAAATTAATCACCTGAATAGACCTATAACACAAAATGAAATTGAAGCAGCAATCAAGAGTCTCCCCAAAAAGAAAAGTCCAGGACCTGATGGATTCTCTGCTGAATTCTATCAGACCTTTAAAGAAGAACTGATACCAACCCTCCTTAAACTGTTCCATGAAATAGAAAGGGAAGGAAAACTGCCAAACACATTTTATGAAGCCAGTATTACACTTATCCCAAAACCAGGCAAAGACACCTCCAAAAAGGAGAACTATAGGCCAATCTCCTTAATGAACATTGATGCAAAAATCCTCAACAAAATAATGGCAAACTGAATTCAGCAACACATCAAAAAGATTATTCACCACGACCAAGTAGGCTTCATCCCAGGGATGCAGGGGTGGTTCAACATACGAAAATCAATAAACGTAATAAACCACATTAACAGAAGCAAAGACAAAAACCACTTGATCATCTCAATAGATGCAGAAAAAGCCTTTGATAAGATCCAACATCATTTCATGATAAAAGCTCTAAGAAAACTAGGAATAGAAGGAAAGTTCCTCAACATTATAAAAGCTATGTATGACAAACTACAGCCAGCATTATACTTAATGGAGAAAAATTAAAACCATTCCTCTAAAATCAGGAACCAGACAAGGATGCCCACTATCTCCACTCCTATTCAACATAGTACTGGAATTCCTAGCCAGAGCAATTAGGCAAGAAGAAGGAATAAAAGGAATACAAATAGGTAAAGAAACTGTCAAAATATCCCTATTTGCAGACGACATGATCCTATACCTTAAAGACCAAAAACTCTACTCAGAAGCTTCTAGACATCATCAATAGCTATAGCAAGGTAGCAGGATATAAAATCAACATAGAAAAATCATTAGCATTTCTATACACTAACAATGAGCCAACTGAAAATGAGTGTATGAGAAAAATTCCATTTACAATAGCCTCAAACAAAATCAAATACCTAGGTGTAAACCTAACAAAAGATGTGAAAGACCTCTACAAGGAAAACTATACACTTCTGAAGAAAGAGATTGAGGAAGACTATAGAAAGTGGAGAGATCTCCCATGCTCATGGATTGGTAGAATCAACATAGTAAAAATGTCGATACTCCCCAAAGTAATCTACATGTTTAATGCAATTCCCATCAAAATTCCAATGACATTCATTAAAGAGATTGAAAAATCTACTGTTAAATTTATATGGAAACACAAGAGGCCACGAATAGCCAAGGCAATACTCAGTCAAAAGAACAATGCAGGAGGTATCACAATACCTGACTTCAAACTATATTACAAAGCAATAACAATAAAAACAGCATGGTACTGGCACAAAAACAGACATGAAGACCAGTGGAACAGAATAGAGGACCAGATATGAAGCCACACAACTATAAGCAACTTATCTTTGACAAAGGAGCTAAAAATATACGATGGAGAAATAGCAGCCTCTTCAACAAAAACTGCTGGGAAAACTGGTTAGCAGTCTGCAAAAAACTGAAACTAGATCCATGTATATCACCCTATACCAAGATTAACTCAAAATGGATCAAGGATCTTAATATCAGACCCCAAACTCTTAAGTTGATACAAGAAAGAGTAGGAAATACTCTGGAGTTAGTAGGTATAGGTAAGAACTTTCTCAATGAAACCCCAGCAGCACAGCAACTAAGAGATAGCATAGATAAATGGGACCTCATAAAACTAAAAAGCTTCTGTTCATCAAAAGAAATGGTCTCTAAACTGAAGAGAACACCCACAGAGTGGGAGAAAATATTTGCCAACTATACATCAGACAAAGGACTGATAACCAGAATATACAGGGAACTTAAAAAACTAAATTCTCCCAAAACTAATGAACCAATAAAGAAATGGGCAAGTGAACTAAACAGAACTTTCTCAAAAGAAGAAATTCAAATGGCCAGAAAACACATGAAAAAATGCTCACCATCTCTAGCAATAAAGGAAATGCAAATTAAAACCACACTAAGATTCCACCTCACCCCTGTTAGAATAGCCATCATCAGCAACACCACCAACAACAGGTGTTGGCGAGGATGCGGGGAAAAAGGAACCCTCTTACACTGTTGGTGGGAATGTAGACTAGTACAACCACTCTTGAAAAAAATTTGGAGGCTACTTAAAAAGCTGGACATCGATCTACCATTTGATCCAGCAATACCACTCTTGGGGATATACCCAAAAGACTGTTACTCCAGAGGCACCTGCACATCCATGTTTATTGCGGCACTATTCACAATAGCCAAGTTATGGAAACAGCCAAGATGCCCCAGCACTGACGAATGGATTAAGAAAATGTGGTATCTATACACAATGGAATTTTATGCAGCCATGAAGAAGAACGAAATGTTATCATTCGCTGGTAAATGGATGGAATTGGAGAACATCATTCTGAGTGAGGTTAGCCTGGCCCAAAAGACCAAAAATCATGTTCTCCCTCATATGTGGACATTAGATCAAGGGCAAACACAACAAGGGGATTGGACTTTGAGCACATGATAAAAGCGAGAGCACACAAGGGAGGGGTGAGGATAGGTAAGACACCTAAAAAATAGCTAGCATTTGTTGCCCTTAATGCAGAGAAACTAAAGCAGATACCTTAAAGCAACTGAGGCCAATAGGAAAAGGGGACCAGGAACTAGAGAAAAGGTTAGATCAAAAAGAATTAACCTAGAAGGTAACACCCACGCACAGGAAATCAATGTGAGTCAATGCCCTGTATAGCTATCCTTATCTCAACCAGCAAAACCCTTGTTCCTTCCTATTATTGCTTATACTCTCTCTACAACAAAATTAGAGATAAGGGCAAAATAGTTTCTGCTGGGTATTGAGGGGGGGAGGGAGGGGGGGAGTGGGTGGTAAGGGAGGGGTGGGGGCAGGGGGGAGAAATGAACCAAGCCTTGTATGCACATATGAATAATAAAAGAAAAATGAAAAAAAAAAAAAATAAAAAAAGAAGAGGCTGAGTGAGGTTAGCCTGGCCCAAAAGACCAAAAATCATGTTCTCCCTCATATGTGGACATTAGATCAAGGGCAAACACAACAAGGGATTGGACTTGAGCACATGATAAAAGCGAGAGCACACAAGGGAGGGGTGAGGATAGGTAAGACACCTAAAAAATAGCTAGCATTTGTTGCCCTTAATGCAGAGAAACTAAAGCAGATACCTTAAAGCAACTGAGGCCAATAGGAAAAGGGGACCAGGTACTAGAGAAAAGGTTAGATCAAAAAGAATTAACCTAGAAGGTAACACCCACGCACAGGAAATCAATGTGAGTCAATGCCCTGTATAGCTATCCTTATCTCAACCAGCAAAAACCCTTGTTCCTTCCTATTATTGCTTATACTCTCTCTACAACAAAATTAGAGATAAGGGCAAAATAGTTTCTGCTGGGTATTGAGGGGGGGAACGGGAGGGGGTGGAGTGGGTGGTAAGGGAGGGGGTGGGGGCAGGGGGGAGAAATGAACCAAGCCTTGTATGCACATATGAATAATAAAAGAAAAATGAAAAAAAAAAAGGATAAAAAAAAAGAGAGAGCATGGAGTAAGTGGTAGAATGCTTGCCTATCCAATTTGAGGCTCTGAGTTCAAACCCCAGAGCCAAAACAACAACAACAAAAAGCTAAATGTCACATATGGTCTTCATTTTCCCATGGATGCTATTGTGAAATTGTAAAAATAAGAGGGTAGAGAATTACACTCATTGATTTGATAAAATTATTTAACAATTTAAGATTTGATTGAGCAAAAATATTAAGTTTAATTGAACTGAGTGCTATAATTAAGCCTTCAGGCAACCGTATGCAATGTTCCTTCTTAATTTATCATTTTGAACAATGAAGATTCCATTATCAGGTTACTATAGATGATATTAGATAATATTATTATAAGTAGTAATTATATAATAATAATAAAACCATGGTCAGATGACATATTCTATTTGTATTTATCAAGCACATAAACAATGTATATCTATTGCATGAAGACATATGTGACATGCTCTGTTCTATGGTTTTGTTTTGCAGAAATATTAAGATATGCAATTTTTACCAATAAAGTATGATGTTTTTTAAAAATGAGAAAAATTAATCATTTTAGGAAAATTAAAATAGATGAACAGAACAGGTTAAAATTTTTACTTTACTTTCATTTACTTATAAAAAATTTTGTACTCTACAATAAAAAATGCTCTGCTAAACAGTACATTCCCTATATATATTTAAGATAAAATTCTCTTCTCAAGATTTCAATTTATACACTACTTTTCAGCAATGTATGAAACAAACAGATGTAATACCTGCACAAGATGAACTACCTTTTGAGAAGGCTTAATTTTTTTGTCAGGTATGAAATCACCTTTACAGTTTATTAGTGGACATGTTTAGATAGGAATTCATATAGGCAAGGTATTATAGTTTCAAATGCAATCTCATATTTTCAATTCTTTAAAGTTCAGCTCTCATTCAATACATCTTTGTACACTGTTTCAGAAGGAGTCAGGGAAGTCAGTTGGTTTTAGCAAGCAACTATCTCAGCTACTTGTGTTAGTACTCTTGGCAAAAATAATGCTTACACGTTGCAGTCTGTTACATCATAAATCCATAAATAAAACTGTCTTGCACTAGATAATTACTTGGTTAAGATCATAGTATATTATGATTTTTCCAGAAACACTTTTGCCGTAAGATTTTCACTTATGAGTTGATATACTATGAGCAAAGACATCCTTATTTCAGACCATTTCTAGTTGGCATCAAGCTACCGACCTGTTTGACATTCTTAGAGGTAGGATCTGGAATAATGCAATCATCACTGTCAGAAGCTGATCTATCATCTTCATCTGTTAAAAAAAAAAAAAAAGAGGACATTTACTCAAGTTGGACCAATTATAATTTGTGAAACAGAGAGAAACAAGCACGTCATAGGATAATCTTAAGAGGACAATATGACAATTATATCTAGATCTTTTTTAGCAGCAAATGTGTTTGCATATAAATGACATTTTATGAAAAGAAAAAAAATGACTAGAAATTCCATGTTTAATTTGGTAAATCCAAAGGAAGTAATACACCTTGTTAAAGAAAGAAATCAAAGATACATGAGGTAACAGGTGTTTTCTAGTAGCCTACCCAATAATGTTATATAAAAATCAATGTTATCCCTACTTCTTAAAAATAAATTAGTTTTTCTGAATATTTGTGAAGTACACACATATTTAAATGGCAAAATTTAATATTTAACACATGTCTAATTCTGTGAAACCATGAGTACAATTATGACAGTGTACATATTCAACAACCCCCAAAAGTTTCCTCAGGGCTCTTTGTAATCTCTTCTCTTCTGCCCTGCCCTGTTCCCATTGATTCTTCCCCAGCCTCACTTACCTGCTTTCTGTCACTGAAGAATTAGTGTATTTTTTTAGACTTGTATATAAATGATACCATATAGTAAGTTGTCTTTTTATTGGTCAGGATTCTTAGTTTAAATTTTTAAAGTCAATCCGTAACACAAAGAGAACATAAAACTGTTTAAAACAGAAATTGCGGACAAGGTCAGCAATGACACTTCGACTCTACCATGGAGCTTGAAGCTATCCAAGAAGATAGATAATAATTCTACTTAACCACAGTTAAGCAGATTGAATGAGCTGTAATCCATCATTTTTGCCATTAAATAGGTAGATTCTACTACTAAATGCCCTATGATGCATACTCTAATAGACAAGACAAAGAAAGAGTTAAGGAAATAGTTTTTAAAAAGGAAGTCATACTGGAAATTTGCCCTCTGGAGTGCGTGCCACTAAGAACCCATCTGAAAGGGACACCAGGGAAGCTTGGCTGGTACATGGGCTGCCACACACTTCAGGAGCAGGACAAAGAAGCCCATCAGTGCAGAAGCTGGGTACTGGGAAGTCACATGTGCCACCAAAGGCACTAGTGTTAGAGGAAGCCACACAGAAATTGCAGCAGGAAACAAGAAAGAGAAGAAACGAGAGAGAAGGAAATAAAGATAGAGAGATAGAGAGAGAGAGAAAGAGAAGAGAGAGAGAGAGAGAGAGAGAGAGCAAGCAAGTGAGAGAGAGCAGAGAGCAAGCACCACCTTCTGGTACCAAGTCTTCAGCTATTTCTATTTCGTCTTCAGAAGAAGCCAAGCTTGGCTCTGCAAGCTGACCCTCAGATAGTAAAGATATGTCATCATCTTTTCCTTGCTGCATTCTCTCAGTATTCTCTTTCACCTTAGCTATACGGTCTTCTTGTGAAACCTGTGAAAAAGGAAACCACACTGCTATATTTATTGTTTACATCCTGCTAAAGCACTTAAAATAATAAAACATGGAAATCTGAGACATAAATATTGAGATATGTAATATCTATACGAGAGACTCGTTAGAAACAACCACTTAAATTATACTAATAAATGAAAATATGCAGATCAATGAAAACTTGAATATGCGTAAGAATAAAAATGCATTAATGCCAAAATTTATACTGACTTTAATTTGCACGTGTATGTATTACCTGCCAATATCAGTGTAATTGTAGTGTTGCATTTGTCATATGTTTTATCTTTCTATTATAAGGGAGTCATATACAAAAATAGGATAGATATTATGATTTCCTGAACCATGTCAATACACACTGACAATGTCTTGAAGAACCAAATTAAACCATTCAAAATAATTTGAATGCAAATGCATACCTTAGAAGTATATAAAACAGTTGACACATTAATTTCTATTTCTGGTGTATGCTCTTCTGGTAAAATTTCTTTCAGATCTTCAGGAGGAGTAGATTTCTCCTTGTATCAATGTGAAAACATGAATGCAGGTTAATTTGTATTTACTACTAAATCCCAAACCATAACTATTACACACACACACACACACACACACACACACACACACACACACACACACACACACACACACACACACATATATATACACACACACACACACTAATAAAAATTGGTATCCATGTGACACTGAATTTAATTAGTTATACTCCAATAATATGGTAGACCCTTTCGTTCCTCTCCCTGCCTCCTTCCCTCCCTCCTTCTCTCCCTTTCTTCCTTCTTTCCTTCATGCATACTAGGTGCATGCTCTACCACTGAGCTACATACTCACAGGATATTCTGTAAAGTATATGTATTACAATTTAACAACTGCAAGAATAGTTCTTTGACCCCTTGTTTATTACCTCAAAAAACTCTGAAGGCAATGCAGATGTACACTAGGGCAGTGGTTGAAATATAGTAATTCAAATAACTGAGCTCTGTGTAACCATGAAAAAATAATGATGCAGATCTGTACTTAACTGATATTACAAGAGTACATCATATAGTGCTGAGTAAAAAAGCTGGTCATAGAAAAAGATAATACAGTTATTGCAAGTTTTGTTAAAAAAACAAACCTGCAATCAAACATATGTGTACCTATGTGTTTCCGTAGGAAAAAGTAAGGAAGAAAATTCATCAAAACTCTGAGCTATAGGGTTGGTAAAATGTAATTTATTCTGTTTTTTTCCTTATTTACATTTTCTAATATTTCTATGATTTTATATTATTCATTTAACTTAAGCATTGTATATGTTAGAATAGGTTATGTGCTTCCTATGATCAGTATTATCTTTTTACTATACCAAATATCAACTTACAGTTAACAATTTTTCCAGCATTCAAAAGCTGATGTTTATTTTTAAAATATAGTTTATAATTTTTACTGTTTTTATTTTATTTACTTTTGGTGGTACTGAGATTTGAACTCAGGGCCTCATGTTTGCTAGGCAGGCACTCTACCACTTAAGTCACCCTGCCAGCTCTTTTTTGTGTTGGGTATTTTCAAGATAGGGTGTTGAGACTTACTTGCCAGCACTGGCCTCAAACCTCAATCCTCCTGATCTCTGCTTCCTGAGTACCTAGGATTACAGGCATGAGCTACTGATACCTGGCTTAATTTTTACTATTTTAAAAGCAAATATGCTCATTATAGAAAATGTGAAAGGTGAATAAGAAAATACAGCAGAAATGAATACAAATTCATATTTCTACTACCCAATGGTAACATTTGCTAATAATTTGTTAGTTTCTATTTCTCTATAATAAATTTTTGATGTAAATAAAAATTTTGAATACACAGTGTAACTGCATTATAAACACAGTACATCCTGTTACGTTCTTTTAAGGAAAATTAATATAATGACATAATCATTTTCCCTATATGAAAACTATGAGAAAATATATTCTTAAATAATCATATATTATTACGTTGATAGAGGTACTATAGCTTATGGACTATTTTACTACTGTAGACACTTAACTAGCTTATAATTTTTAGATAGTATGACTAACAATGCAACAAATATCTCTATGTATATGTCTTTTTAATATTAATGGTATTTGCTTAGGAGTTAGTACTTGTGTCAGGCTACCTACCAGTAAAACACCAGCTCTAATACTTTAAGCATGAGCAAGTTACTTAACCGCTCTTAACATTCTCTCCTAGTATCTCAAGGATTACTTTCCCCATCTTTAAGTGGGAATAATTCTAGTATGAACAACTAGGGTTGTTGTGAAGCCCAGTGTATTAAATGAGCCCAAATGTATTAAATGAGCCCAATGTATATAAAGCATTTATTTTAGTATCTGGCACATGACAAACACTCAAAAAATAGTAGCTATGAAACACTCCCTGAATTATAATCATTGAATTCATTTATGTAGCACATATATAATAAATCCTTTGTGTATGCCTGGTAGTATGTTAAGCCTTGAGAAGACAGAGTATTTTGATGTGGGTGATGGTTACATAGGATCATATGTAAACATTAAGGTGTATATTTAAGATTTGTGTTCTTTATAAGTTATATGTTCAATTTTTTTTTTTTTTTTTTGCAGTACTAAAGTTCAAACCCAAGTTCAAACTCAGGGCATACACCTTGAGCCACTCCACCAGCCCTTTTTTGTGTTGGGTATTTTCTAGATAGGGTCTCATGAACCATTTGTCCAGATTGGCTTTAAACCATCATCCTCCTGATCTCTGCCTCCTGAGTAGCTAAGATTACAGGTGTGAGCCATTAGTGTCCAGCTAAAATTTTTTTTTAAAAAGCTCAGGAGAGGTGGTGGTGACATGAGTGGTAATAGTGTGGATGATATGTATTGCAGAATATATTTTGAAAGGAAATACAGCTGACAACTTTTGTGGATGAACTGGATATGGGGTATGTTAAAGAGAGGAGTCAGGGAGATGCTTCCAAAATTTCATGCCTGCCCAATTGAACAAAGATTATGAGAATGGGAAACACTGAAAGAGTCAAAATTTTTGGAAGAGCTTTGGCATGACAGGAATTTGGATTTTGACATGTTAAGTCCAAATTCTTATTAGCTACCCATTAAATAAGAAAAATACAGAATTCAGCAGTGAGGTTGAGGTTAGAGATTACAGATATGGGAGTGTCAACATATAGATAGATGCATTTTAAAGCTTTGGGACTAGCTAAGAGCTTTTAATGTAGATAAAGACTGAGAAGAGGTCTGAGGACTGACTGCTGAGACCTTTCAACACTTAGAGGTGAGTTCCAGGAGAGTGAGGTCCAGGAGTGGAACTGGTAAGGCTGGAGGAAAACTAGCAAGATAAGGTATTCCAGGAGTCAAGAGAAAAGGGAGTCAGAATTCCACATGTCAAATGTTACTGGAGAGTAAGATGGTAACAGAATTCACTACTGCATATGGCAAAAAGAAAGACACTATAACCTTAGCAAGAGTGGTTTTTGTGAAGATAAAGTTTGACTGGAGTAAGTTCAAGAAACAGTGTGAGGAAAGGGAGACAACTTTTTTGAAGATTTTTTTTTTGTAAATGGGAGCAGAGGACTAGAGCAGTACTGGAGAGAGAAAGAGATCCATGAATATGAACAGTTCGTATGTATACACAGTGCCAAATTACAAAACTATGGACTTTACTGTTTCCATTTAATCAGGTGAGGTATAATATACCTCTGTTTTTTATTTCAAATATTTGTTACAGAAAAAAAATCATATGTTGAGTGTTGTTTGCTACTTACAGAATTCTGATGTGGTATAGTATCCACAAAAGACACCTTCTTATCCACAGGTGTTAAACGTTGTCTTGGTTTAGGTGTTGGTGCCTATGATAAAGCAACATATCATACTGAGTATGATTATCATCACATTTTAGATAAGGCTTCACTGTTTGTTTTTTTTTTTGAGGGCAGAGTTTATTTGGCTATTAAGTTTATATTTCAAAATTTTGTATTTGAAAGGAAATTGAAAGTCACTATTACTCACTACAACTGATGTGCTAATAGAGGATGCTGAAGGTAGTCTCTGAGCAACTTCTGGCTCTTCTCTGTGTATGATATTTCCCAAATCTTCAGTAGTTATTGATTCACTCGGAGGAAGGTAAGTAAACTTCCATTTCAATATAATGTGAATGGTGCCTGCAGGATGCTTTTGATGATCTGTTAATTCAAATATTCCTGTCAAATTATAAAAATAATTTTAATTAATGCTAGAATAAATTTTAGTAGCATAAGAATTAAAGAAGAACAAAGAACTACCCATACCTTTAAAATAATTTTGGCATTTACTCACAACTCAAATGTCTTAGAAAATAAAATAGAGACAAGAGTATCTATAACAGGTTTATCTTTCAAGCAGACTTCTTTCAGAAGTTAAGGCCTTAAAAATAATACTGATTCAACAATGAGAAAATTAGTTAATATTTTAATTCACTGAATTAGATTAACAGATTACTCAGAATTCCTAGCATTCCTCTAAGACATTCTAAGGTTGATTCAAGTTTCAATCTTCATTTTGACTTGAATATTCTTGCAAGAGACTTGTCTCTAAAGAAAAATATAATAAAACTTTAAAATTACAAATAATGTTGTATCTAAGAGTTTTTATATTACTCAATAATTGTTATAATTTTAAGTATGGCTTACTAAATTACTCCAAATTGACAGTAGCACAGCAAAAATGCTCACTAAGTAAATGGACCCACTAAAACAAACAGCAGTAACAAAAAGGATCACTTAGCTAAAATCTGTAATTTTGAATTAGGAATTTCAATCACTGCAGTAGATGTGAGATATGAAAAATTTGTCACTAACAAACCTATAGTTCAAGTATAACTTGGTTGGGGGTATTTTTTACTTGGTCCTCAAGTGTTGATACTTCTTTTAATGGCTGGCTGGGAAAAAATCCCTAAACTTCCAAGCTCCCAAAAATCTAAGCTTTAGGGAGAACAAAAAGCTATGGGTGGAATATAAGGAGGTGCTAAACTTCTATAATAGGTAAGGCAAGCTTCCAGAATGGCTGAATGAAGACCTCAGCAAATATTGTTCCCAAAAAGCAATGATAAAAGTAGAAAATTGTTTAAAAATTAAACAAAACAACAACAACAACAACAAAACACCTATCTGAGGATTCTGGAAGTTGATCACAGATGCACAACAAATTGAGCATTTACTCAAGAGAATCTCCTGAACCTTAGCAGAAACAGAAGGAATCTGTGGGATTGCTCTTGTCGTCTCTTCTTGTCCCCCGCCTGCTTGGTGCAAGAAGTCTAGCAGAGTAGGGCAACCTGTGAGGACTGGTAGCCTCTTTGGAAGGAGGTTGACTTTATTTGGAACAGAAAGTAGATAATTTCATGCCTCCAGGAAGTGTTAAGAACATTGGCAATCTCAGTGCCAAATAATCAGGAAAGACCAACCATCACAGCCAGCCTAAGATCTCAATACTGGTTGGGGGCAAACAAAAGACCAGAAAGCCAGGCAATTTAAAAGAATTAAGACATCTGCAGCAAGTCTTGATAAGATCCTGTTTATGTCTCTTGCTGTGGAAGGCTATGGGTAGATACAAAGCTATGTTCATATTTAGAAGAAACCCAAGAGGACCCTAGTAAACTATTTGTCCCTAGTTGAATGAGAGGAATAGCAGTACCAAATCCAGAAGGTAAAAGCTGAAGGAGACTTTAGACTGTAAACCTGAACACATTCTTTTATACACAAAGGGTAGAAGGCTACTGGCTCAAGGTATTTAAGTATACTTTCAATAATCACAGGAAGACCATCATTAAGCTATGCTGACCTGGGTTTAAATTAAAAAAGACTAAAACAGAACTTAGCAGAACATTGTAAGCATACACAGAAATATCACATTAAAACCCCCCTGGTACAACTAATATAGGCTAATAAAAATGTAAAACAAAAGAGTAAATAAAAATAAACAAATAAAAAAAGAACTTAGCAGAGAAAGCAGTGGCTACCCAAGATGGGGGAAACAGATTTTATAGAATTAATCCAGGTGAGTCACACCAAACAAACAAAAATGGAGACAGTAACTACCCCAAGGAGGGTGTGACAATATATTATCCAAAATGTCCAGTTTTCAACCAAAATAAATCATGAATTATGGGGATGTTGTTTTGTGGTAGAGCGCTTGCCTATTATGCATGAGGCCCTGAGTTTAATCCTCATCAACAAAAATCATGAGTTATATAAAAAACAAGTGCAATGCATACCATAGGATAAAAAGCTATCAGCAGACATTCTCTGAGGTGTTTTAGACAGTAGACTCAGCAGAAAAAGGTTTCAAAGCAACATTATCAATGTTTAAAAAATCAAAAGAAACCATATTTGAAGAATTAAAGTTATAATGACAATGACTGATTAAACAGATATGGTAAAGAGATTACATAAAAAAAGAAATAGGTGGGGTGCCTGTGGCTCACATCTGTAATCCTAGCTACTCAGGAGACTGTGGTCAAGCCAGCCTGGGCAAATTAATTATAACACTATCTGAAAAAACAAAACAAACAATGAAACATTACAAAAAAGGGCTGGTGAGTGGCCAAGGTGTAGATCCTGAGTTCAAACCCCAGTACTGCAAAAAAAAAAAAAAAAGAAAGAAATAGGCTGGGATGTAGCTCAGTTAGTAGAGTGCTTAACATGCAAGCCCTGGGGGGGGGAGGGGAGAGAGGAAGAAAGGGAGAAAAAGAATCTGGAGCTGAAAAGTAAATTACTGAAATAAAAAATTCAATTGAAGGACAGCAGAAGATGACTAAGCACAAGAATCAGTGGCCTTGAGATTGATGTAAAGGTTATCCAATTTAAGAATGAGAAGAAATATGAACAGAGCCTGAGAGCGTGGCATTTAGTAACATACCAACATATAATGCAAATATAATATTACCTGCCATACAAGTAACTCAACAATTCCAAGTAGGATAAACATACGGCCATGTAACCTAAACACACCAAACTGTTCAAAACCAAAAGCTAATAGAAAAGCAGATTACATAAAAAAAGAAATAGGTGGGGTGCCTGTGGCTCACATCTGTAATCCTAGCTACTCAGGAGGACTGTGGTTCAAAGCCAGCCTGGGCAAATTAATTTATGAGACACTATCTGAAAAAACAAAACAAAACAATGAAAACATTACAAAAAAGGGCTGGTGGAGTGGCTCAAGGTGTAGATCCTGAGTTCAAACCCCAGTACTGCAAAAAAAAAAAAAAAAAGAAAGAAAATAGGGCTGAGGATGTAGCTCAGTAGTAGAGTGCTTAACATGCAAAGGCCCTGGGGGAGGGGAGGGGAGAGGAGGGGAAGAAAGGGGAAGAAAAAGAAATTCTGGAGCTGAAAAGTAAATTACTGAAATAAAAAAATTTCAATTGAAGGGACCAGCAGGAGAGATGAACTAGCACAAGAATCAGTGGCCTTGAAGATTGATGTAAAGGTTATCCAATTTTAAGAATGAGAAGAAATATGAACAGAGCCTGAGAGGCCTGTGGGACATTAGTAAACATACCAACATATAAATGCAAATATAATATTACACTGCCATACAAGTAACTCAACAAATTCCAAGTAGGATAAACATACGGCCATGTATACCTAAACACACCAAACTGTTCAAAACCAAAAGCTAATAGAAAAGCATCAAATGTAAGGGAACTATAATAAGATCAATAGCTGATTTCTTACCAGAAACAATGGATACCAACAGACAGTCTAGTTTGATGTGCTAAAAGTGCTACAAAAGAGAAACAAATTTCTAACCAAAAATATAAACGCAAAACAAGAATATTTCCAGATAACAGTGATTGGGATAACTCACGAACAGACCTGACTTATAACACATATTGAATAGGAAGGTTTCTTTAGGCTGAAAAGAGACAGATAGATGGTAACTCAAATCCACCTACAGCAACAGGGACCAAGGAATGTAATTAAAAATGGCAATGTAAATATATTTTTCTCTTTTCTCCTCTTAACTGATTTAAAAGACAACTGTATAAAATGCCAATTATAAAATTATTATGTTGGGCTGATAACATATAAAGATTGTATATATGTGATAATAATAGCACAAGGAGGGGAAAAACAGCAATATTGTTGCAAGGAAATGAATCAGAGTGAGGATATGACATCAAGACCACAGGAGGAAATACCAAGGAATACTAAAAATAGTAAATATGTATATGAATGTCAAATTCTCCTGTAATTATGTATTTTCCCCCCACTTTTAACTTCTTTAAAGGAATACAATTACATTTTGTAATGCAATAATCATAACATTGCATTGTTGGGTGTGTAATGTACAGGCATACTTCGTGCACTTATATGACATTCATAGCACAAAGGAGGGGAAAGAGAATGAAATATTAGACTTTTTATATTTTAATGTAATTAAATTGGTATTAATTTTAAGTTGAACTGTGCAATGCATATTAGAATCCCTAGAGCACTATAAATGCTACAAATGAAATTCCTACCAAAGAAATAAGTAAAAACATATATAAAAGGACCAAAGTTTAAAAATTTTCTGAGCTTAGAAAAATTAGTTACAAGCAAATTATATCCATAACACTAAGGTATAATTTAATTTTGTTTTATAATTTCATAGAATCACGAACTTTTTGTTCTCTTAATGGAATTTTATATTTTAATGGAATTAGCTAATATTAATTTTAAGTAACTGTAAGATGGATATTATAATCCCCTGAACATTGGAGATGCTATAATCCTTAGCAAGGATAACTAAAAAGTATACATTACTTAGGCCCAAAGTTCAAAGATTATCTGAGGTTAGGAAAATTAGCTATAAACAAATCAAGTCTGTAATACCAATGTATAATTTAGGTTTGTTTTTACAGTTTTATAGGATGAAAAACATAGGCTTACCTGAGATACACCTGTCATGTGCCAGTGAAATCAGAGGCACACTGACTTTTCCTATGTAAATATTCTCCTGGGTATCACTATCATCAAACACATAAAAACTCAGAGACTCTGACTTAAGGTATCGATCCAAATCCATATTCATTGGCACTGGGAAACACATATGATCATCAAACTGTGGATCATTGCTACTGGGAATGATGGCTGTATCATGGTCTGCAAAATCAAAAAACTTGTACACAACATATGGGTGTGGTTGCAGGAGGCTTGCTCGGGACTGCAGTTGGTTGCAACATCTTACTGTAATGTGAAGTTCATTTAAGTTGCCATCTGTGGAATCTGTTGAACTGAGCTGACCAGTTTTGGGTGCTTGCTGACTTAACTGGAAAAACATACATATTTATATTATAGAAGTAACACAATTACAAGATAAACAGCAGCTGACAACCCCCAAATAAAATAATTTTGTAAATGGACAAAAACTGCATATTTTCATTTCAACATTTCTTAGCAAAAAAATCTTTGGTTCTTACTCAAAACCAGCATTCTCTCTAACATGTGTAAATATACAATCCTATGCAACAAATAAGGGAGACTGAGGACACTTGTAGAAATTGGTGCTAATATTAAATAAAACACAAAATGATTTCTTAACTATCTAATCTTTGAGGCGGAAAGTGAGCCTAACTTTACTAGAGTCACCTGCTCTCCCAGTGTGCTGAATCTGTTATATTTGGGTTGGTCCTCATCCTCAACTACTGGGGTTTTAAGAAACAGATATCAGAGGTCAAGATTAGCCTGCATAAGAACAAGAGAACAGAGTCAGAGATAAACCTCACAGGGAGAAAAAGCTGGAATTGGGAGAACATTTCAGATGAGAGATGAGCAAAACAAGCTATTAGGTAGAGTTGGAAAACCTCTATGCTCCCTTTTAGAAACATTACTAAGATGGCCAGCACACAAATGTTTTGGAAAACAGTGGCACTAAATGGTAAATCATCTAAAGCTGATGAGATCTGGGACAAAATTTTTTTTAGTGTTTTAGTGCCTTATTTAGTGTGCTGTTGAAGAATTCTCTACTTTCCCTAAAGGAACCCCTCTTTTCTGAATCTAGAGTGAATAATTGGGACCCAAAAGCTTACTGGAGAAGGAAAACTAGAGCTATGGTCATAATCTAACACTTAGTGGCGATCTGGGGGTGTGGAGTGGGGACATGTGAGTAGGACTACTACTCTCCCAGGGCTAGTCTGCATTCAGTTGTGGAAGAGAGAGTAGAGTGACTTTAAAAGTGCCCCCATCTCTTATCTCTTCAAATATACCTTCAAAAGCTGAAATTCCACCAGTAAATGACATATGCAAGCCAGAATCTGGGGGGGTCTAAAAACATTGAAGCTATAATACCAACTGAATAATCTGATCTGCTTATTTCTAACTCCCATTTCTATAATAGCATCTCCCATACTGTGTTGTGAAGAATACTAGCCAGAAAGATGACCTCTGGGGAGCAGGAGCAGAAGCAAGTATAGTTCTCTCTTAAGTTTGGGAATCAATTTTTTTTTTTGGCTGCACTGGGGCTTGGACTCAGGGCCTCATGCTTGCTGGGTAAGTGGTCTTCCACTTGAGCCAGGCCTCCAGCCCTTTTTGCTTTAGTTATTTTTTTTGGATAGGATATCACACTGGGATAACAGGCACAAACCACCATGCCCAGTGTATTCTTTGAGATAGGGTCTTACTGGGCTGGCTGTGAACCACAATTCTATCTCTGTTTCCCAAGTAGCTGGGCTTACAGATGCATACCAACTGTGCCCAGCTTAGTCATGGTTCTTTAAGTGAAAGTTATAGTTACAGCTAGTAAAAACAACAAAAGAGGTTTTTAATGTAAGGTTGGAGGGCTATTGCATGGATCTGTACACAGCAGAAATGTTGGGTCTTAGGAAGTTAGAACTGGAAAGACACCACAACTTATTGTCTATCTGCTCTCCATTTTTCTCTGAATGCTGGCTCATTATTTTTCTCTTTAGATCCATTTTTTTCTCTTTACTTATTAACATGGTAGAAGATGGCTCCCAACAGCTCCCAATTTTACATGTTTCAGGCATGAAGAGCTTTGCTTTTTCTTGTATCTCAGAAGATAGAATATGATTGGCCAAAGTAGGGTCAAGTGGATATTCCTGAATCATTAGTCATGACTGGGTGGGCATAGGGGAAAATGCTCAACATAAACCTGGCCACTGGGGGCCAGGCCCCATGGATTGAGGGGTGGTAAGGGCAGTTCTAAAGAGAAAAAGTGTAAGATAATTACAAGTTGAGCAGACATTCCAAAATGTTTCTACTATATTCTATTGCTCTGTTACTCAAAATGAGGCATACTTTATGCTTGCTGTTGAGATTCACATTACATAAGTTATAAAGTTGAGAATCTTATTCAAGTTTGGTCAATTCAGTACTTTCCACATTGACTGGATCATGAAATTCATTTGGAAATACAGTTATTAAGACTCCACAAAACACAGTGTGGGAAATGCTGCCCCAAGGAATTGCTTTTAAACTCCCAGTTCTCAGCAAGAAAATACTCATTTTGTATTTGATTTTGCATTTCAGAAACCTAACAGGAGGAAGCAGTTTGAAAGAAGGATAATAAGTGATAGCTCAATAATAGTTATTCCTTTCCTTACCAGGAGAAATAGCTAATGAAAGATTCTTGATGTATGATAATAGTAAAATATATTTATATTTTTCCAAGTGTCCTGGTCAGCACAAGAGAGCTCCTTTGTATTGGTAGAATGGCTCTGTATCTTGATTGTGGTGATGGTTATATGAATTTGTACACATGATGAAGCTGCACAGAGGGACTATACACGCATGTGCACATGCACAAAATTGAATGCATGCAAATATTGATGAATCTGAGTAAGACATGTAGGGTTGTTAATAGTATTGTACCAATGTCAAGCTCCTAGGTTTGTTTTATTGTTCAGTACTAGGGATCAAACCCAGGGCCTTATGCATGCTAGGCAAGTGTCCTACCACATCCTCAGCCCATTTTTTAAAATTTTATTTTGAGATAGGGTCTCATTAAGTTGCCCAGGATGGCTGCTGCTTCAGCCTCCTGAGTAGCTAGGGGCATGAGCCTCCATGCCTGACTTAAAATTTCTAGGTTTTGATATTACACTATAGTTATGAAACATGTCATAATTAGTGAAACTGGGTAGGCATACACGGGACTTTTTGTACTGTTTTTGTTATTTTTGTGAGTCTATTATTATTTCAAATTAAAAAGTTAAAAAAGCCACTTGTTGGCTATGAAAGAAAATGCTTTCAGTTTAAAGTGTGAAATATTAGGAAATACTATAAAATTTCTATGTTACAAAAGGATCTGAAAGTCAAACGAGCTTACTGGTTGCATTTGCTCTGGCCCCTTAAAATTTGATGTTATGTATCCCAAAGCCTTTGCCCGTTCTTGATAAAGTCGAATTGCTTGATCCATGGGAACTCTTAATCGGAACCAGTATTCCACTGTGCCAAAATTTGGGATGTCTCCTTTAGTTCCTATGAATCAATACATAACCCATTGCTAAAATAGCCTTATAAATGAAAATACATACAAGTAAAAATTCATCAATATTAGGTATTAAAAGTATAAACTTTATATTGAGTAAAATGCACAAATGATATAAGATTGGCAAATAACAGACGAAGACAGTTACTCCTGAAGTATGCGTTTCACTGCATGTTAAATATTATTGAGCTATATCAAACTATGACTGAGATATTCCAATTTATAATGTTTCAACACTTATGAAATATAAAGAAAAATCTAACACTCAATCAGATACTCCACAGGTTTTTTTGGATTCTGTAGTACTTAGAACAAACAAACAAACTACATCAATGTAGTCTAACATTAACAGAAGGAGACCGCAAAATTATAAATATAACATTAAGCATTCTAATTCAACTTTCAAGAAATCTTTGGCATCTTCCCATTTCATTAGTACAAGTATGCAGAGAAACCTCAGAGCTATGCTGAATACAGACTGCATTCAATATACCCTTGCATGACATTTGCCCTGCACACTGTTATGCCTCTTGACTTAGTAGCTCCTTTTTCTCTGTGAAGACATTTTTCAGAGCGACTTTTCTTTGGTTCCTGGGAGACTTAAAGCCTTATGCTTCCTTTATGGATTTGTATGTCCTCATTACAGCATTGACCACTTCAGCATAATTGTCTGCTGACAAGGGTATATCCTGTATACCACACAGAGTTTTTCTTGAAGACAAGGGCTGTAGTTTTCATCAATATATATATTCTTACCAGAAGGACTAGTACACAATGGATTCTCAATATTTGTCAAATAGAGAAGATTCTATGCATAAACTTTTCTGAACAACCCATGTTATTAAGAATATTACTCCTACATGTTTCTTTCTTGCTAATAGATATTATCAGCATAAAACATCATTTAATAACTGCCATCATTTAAAAACTGTCCCCAAAGTTGATGCACACATATATTTGCTTGTATATACATAATGATGAATTTGTAGTCTTTGGTGAGGGGACCAGGTGTGGCTGGGAGATAGAAGAGGTAGAAGACATTAAACCTTTTCGATTTTTCAGTCATGGATATATTACCTATGCAGTTAGTCACTTAATCAGCAAAATAAAATCTGAGACACTAATTTAACCTCCTTTGTTCTTGAAAAGGTTTCTTCACTTGGCTACTGCACTACCACAGACTCAGTTTTCCTTCTACACCACTGGCGATCCCTCAGTTTCCTTAGCTGGGTTTTCTTTCTCTTCCTGAAGAATAAAGTTTGGAGTTTCCCTAGTTTCAGTCCTTGGCCACCCTCTCCATACTCACTTTCTATGTGATATAATCTAGGATCAATAAAACATATTGTACATGAAAATGATTCCCACTTTTATATTTCCAATCCTGACCTTCAGTTTGTTTATCCAACTGCCTTCCTGACATCTCCACTTGATTGTCTAATAGGCAGGTCAATCTTGTCCAAAGAGAATTCTTGATTTTATTTTTATTACCATAAATTAATTATACACAGGGGTTTCATTGTGATATTTACTTACATGCATATAATATATGCGTTCAAATTCACCCTATTACTCTTTCTTAACCCCTTTCAATCTCCTCCCTATTTAACAGTTTTTAGTGGGTTTCATTATGGTATTTTCATACATATATACAATCTACTTTGATCATATTTGCCTCCATTGCCCTCTCTTCTTCCCCTCCTGTTAGTTCTCCCACAAACAGTACCCCTTTTCCAATTATGTCATTTTTTTTAGGTCTATGTTCTGTATATGAGTGAAAGCATATGATATTTGTCTTTCTGATTTTGGCTTACCTTGTTCAACATGATAATCTCCATCCAGTTCTATCCATTTTCCTGCAAATGACATCATTTCATTCTTCTTTATTGTTGAATAATACCCCATTGTGTGTATGGACCACTTTTATGTATTCATCAGTTGTTGGGCAACTAGGCTAATACTCATGGATATGCAAGTATCTCTATTGTATGTTGACTTACCTTCCTTTGGCTATATGCCCGAGAGTGGTATAGCAGGATCATATGGTAGTTTGTTTTTTAGTTTCTTGAAGAACCTCCATCCTGATTTCTATAGTGACTCCACAAATTTATATTCCTACCAACAGTATATAAGGGTGTCTTTGTTCCAAATGCTTACCAGCATTTGTTGTTTTCTTGATGACAGTCATTCTGATTTGAGTAAGATGGAATCCCAATGTTTTGATTTGCAATTCCTTTATGTCTAAGAATGTTGAACATTTTCATGTATTTATATGCCATTTGTACTTTTTCCTTTGAGAGCTGTCCAATTCATTTGCTCATTTATCAATAGGATTATTCTTTTGGTGTTTAATTTTTGCACTCTTTATAATTCTGGATATTAATCTTACAACTGATGAATAGCTTTAAAAGATTTTCTCTCATTCTATGGACTGCTTCTTCATTCTGGTAATTGTTTCCTTTGATGTGCAAAAGCTTTTTAATTTAATGCAATCCCATTTGTCAATTTTTCTTGCTCTTACTTTCTGAAGAGCAAGAGTCCTATCTGAAATCTATTGCCGGTGCCCATATCTTCAAATGTTTTCCCAGAGTAGTTTCAAAGTTTCAGGTCTTAAAGACTTTGTTCCATTTTGAATAGATTTTTGTACAGAGTGAGAGACAGGGATCTAACTTCATTCTTCCACATGTGCATATCCAGTTTTCCCAATACCATTTATTGAAGAGGCTGTAATTTCTCTACTGTAAGTTTTTGGCTCCTTTGTAAAAAATCAGATGAGTATTGTGTGTTTATTTTTGAGTCTTCTATTGCATTGCTCTACATGTCTGCATTTGTGCTAGTACCATGTTTTTGTTGCTATGGCTCTATATTACATAATTTGAAGACATGTATTGTGATACATCCTGCATTGCTTTTTTTGCTCAGGATTGCTTTGGCCATCTAGGGTTTTTTTATACTTCCACAGAATTTTAGGATTGATTATATTTCTATTTTTGTGAAGAATGATATTGGGATTTTGAGAGGACTGTATTGAATTTGGAGATTGCTTTCAGAACTATAGCCATTTGTACAATATTAATTCTACCAATTCATGAACATGGGAGGTCTTTTCATTTTCTAGTGTCTTCTTCAACTTCTTCAATGTTTTATAGTTTTCATTGTAGAGGTCTTTTACCTCTTTAGTTTATCTCTAGGTATTTTATTTTTTTGAGATTATTGATGAAAGTTGGGTATTAAAGTCACTCACTATTATGTATGTTGGGGTCTACCTGTGATTTTATATCCAGTAGTGTTTGTTTCATGAAATTGGGTGCACTGACATGCACTGTATATATGTTTACAATTTTTTAACGCCTCTTGATGAGTTGTTCTTAGCTAATTTTGTTTGAATTCTACTTTGTCAGATACGAGTCTAGCTACTTCTTCTTGCTTTCAGGCTCCATTTTCTTAGAATATCTTCTTTTATCCTTTTACCATAAGTCATTTGTCTTTGCCAGTGATGTATATTTTTTTTGTAGGCAACAATGGTTGGGTCTTGTTTTTTAGTTCAACCTGCCAGGCCCGTCTATGTCTTTTGATTGGAGAACTGAGACCATTAACACTAAGAATTAATATTGAAAGCTATGTAGTATTTCCTGTCATTTGTTGTTTCTCTAATGTTTGATTCTTTCCTAATCCTCATTTGCTTACCTACTCATTTAGTGAGATTTATTCTTTCTGGTATTTTCCTGGTTGCATTTTTCTTCTTTTGTATGTAGGATTCCTTTAAGCATCTTCAGCTGTACTGGCTTAATATTCATGAATTCCTTTAGTTTTTATTTATCATGGAAGGTTTTTATTTCTCCTTCAGTTATGAAGATAGCTTTGCTGGATACGGTAATCTAGGTTGTCAGAAATTTTCTTTCAAGGCTTGAAATATATCATTCCGTGCCTTCCTGGTTTTTAGTTTCTATTGAGAAATCTGCTGTTACTGTGATGAATTTACCTTTGTATGTGACTTGATGTTTCTCTCCTGCAACTTTCAATATTCTCTTCTTCTTCTGTACATTTAATATTTTAACTGTAATATGTTTTGGAGATGTTTCCTGGTCTTGTCTTTTGTGTCTATAAGTTTCCTGTACATGAATTTCTTTCTCAAAATTTGGAAAATTTCTCCTATTATGTTTTCTATACTTTTTCCTTATAGGAATGCCCACAATTTGTAGGTTTGGTCTCTCACTGGTGTCCCAGAGGTCTTGCAGGTACTGCTCATACTTCTTTTTTATTTTCATCTGAATGTTCTAATACATTTATCTTGTCATCAAACCTTGACAGCCTGTCTTTAATTTGATCCAGTTTACTGGAGAGGCTTTCTACTGAGTGTTTTATTTGGCTTATTAAGGTTTTCATTTCTAGAATATCAACCTGATAGTTTCAGGATTTCTATAGCTTTATTGAATTTCTTTTTCATATTCTGCATTGTCTTCCTTACTTCATTCAGCTGTTTATCTGCATTCTCTTTGAATTCATTCAGGTTTCATATATGTCCTTTCTAATTTCATTGGTTATTTTTACAATCATTCTTTTGAGTTCTTTGCAGTTTCACCGGCTTCAATATCCTTATTATTTGTTATGGTGGGTCTGTTGACCTTTGGAGGAGTCATATTGCCTTGTTTACTCATATTTCTTGTGTTTCTGCATTGGGATTTACATATCTGAGGCCAAGTTGTCAGCTGGAAGTTTAAATCACAGGCTTGGGGTAGTGTCCACAGTGATCCTCAGGCAATGGGATATATTTTCTTCAGGGAGGGTGGTGCCACTGATCACCTTGACCACTGCCTGGGCTCCCTACTGCCTAAATTTTTCAGTGGGTCCACATCACACCTTTTCCTTCTCTACAACCACAGCTTGTAGCTATCCTCCATCTAGACAATGTGGCAGGGTGTCCTAAGACTCCATGAGTCTTCCCTGGTTTTCAAGAATACAGAGTATCTCAGTTTCAAAACCTGCTTGGCAGCAAATGCCTGTGGCTTGCAGGCAGCTCCTGGGGCCTGAACACTCTGTCATCCACAGGCTTGGTGCTGTTTCCACAGTGATACTCAAGCAATGGAACTTTCTTTCATCATGGAGGGTGGGGCCCTGACCACCATATCCTCCATTTCCGAAAGTTCCTGCTGCTTAAATTTCTCAGCTTGCCCATGTCAGACCCTCTTCCTCTTTACAACTTCCTCTCATGGCTGTCTCCCTTCCAGACACAGTGGGCTTGTGTCCCAAGATTCCCTGAATTGCACTTGTTCTTTGTTTTTAGGTTCCCAAGTAGCTCAGTCTAGAAAAGCAGGCTCTCTCTTTTTATAGCTTTCTGAGATATAGGAAGAGAAAGAATATCTTTCTTATCTATCACCTTGGAGAAGTCAGTCCCACAAAATCCCCATACTAGGTTTAAGGCTTATGGGAGGTATGGGATTGTCCCACTGCTAGGTCTGCCAGTCTGCTGCAAAGCCACCTAGTTTACTTTGTGGTAGAAGCTTCAGCTTCCCCTCCCCACTGGTGGAGATAGGGCTGAAGCTGCTAATTTACTCTGTCATCTTTCTGTTTCTCCATGCTTTTCAGTTCCTTCTTTTGTAGCTCCTGGTCCTCTTTTTCTTGTTCTCTCTTCCAAATATAGTCTCTTCTTTATTGCTCTGACTCTTCCTATTCATGGAGTCAGATGGAGAAAGTTTCTACTTCACCAACTTGCCCCACTTCTCTTTTGATTTTCTTCCTTTAATTTGTTCCTTTCCCAATCTTTCCTAGCTCAGTAAATGGCATCACATTCCAGAAATTCTTGCCTTCTCTGTTTCCCTCATTGACCTATATTTAACAATCAGCAAATCCTAAAGAAAGAGTTAATAAAAACATCCCGAACATGAAACTTCTTACCACCACTTTCATTGCCATCTTAATTCAAGCCACTGCCATCTTCCCATAATCAATGCAATAAATTGTGAATGGTCTTATTTTCCCTCTTGTCACCTAAAGATTATCCTTTCCACAGTACTCAGCACGATTTTCATAAAACTTAAAAAAAATTCAAAAATTCTCACTCTGATCCACAAGGTTCTATAACATGATCTGGTCCTTGCCAATTGGTTTAATTTTTTATTTGCTACAGTTACTGGGCTTGTTGCTGTGCCTCCAACAAGGTCTGTTACTCCTCAGATCTTTGTTTTTGCTATTTCCCCATCCTGAAACTGTTTTCCCCTATATTCTGCCATGGACCTTCATTCAGGTCTTTACCAGTGTCACCCTCTTAGAGAAGCCATTATCTGAAGTAGGAACCCTCCAGGCCTCTTTAGCCTCTTGCTCTTATGACTTCATATGACTCTCTCTCTACAGATAGATTAGTAAATAAATAGACTATATATACATTTATTTATTTAATTGCCTGCTTTCCCTCTAGAAGGTTAGCTAAGCCACACAGTGGCACAGGTTTTGTGTGTTTTATTTACCACTGACCAGTATTCCTAGTACTTAAGAATAGTGATACTGTAATATCTTAATCAAGAGGGTAAATAAACATCTGAAGTTGGAAGTTTAATAGATATTTATAAGAGTTATAAGTATCGATAGTATCTTACTGAAATCATTAATGACACTGAAGTTAGTTCAACTGTGGGCAAAGAACATGTTCCTACTAAGAATGTACCTTTAATGTATAAAAGAAGATACTAATGTAGAATATCATTGAACATACAAACCAAATTAATGACTCAAACATCCAAAGCTTATAAACTGTACTTACCAACCAAAGTGGCTGTGCAAAATATTCGACCACTTTTTTCTAAAATTTCATGGAATTTCAATTGACATGCTGCGATTGTTTCATAATCTGTGCTGTAAGCATGGTGAACCTCAAGAGTGATAGTGTTCTTCTGAATATACTGCAGAAATAAGTCATTAACATGAACAAGATACTGAGAAGTGAAGTTGTATTCTGGGTGAAGGCCTTGCACAATGGGAGTTGTCTGTAGTTCAAAATCATAGAAAGCATAGGTACAGAAAGTGACAGGCTCTTTATCTCCAGATGCCTGTAAAACTTCAGAAGAAAAGGTAACTTTGCTGATATGGATTTCAAAGAGATTTTCACCACGTTCTAGATGGATGGTTTCATCAAATTCATCAACAGAGTCATCTGGCATGATTTCTGGTTTAAATTTGTACTGCTTGGTGCCATATGCAATATCTCTTAACTGGGCTACAAGAGAAGAAGACACACAGTTTAGAGATTTTCAAATATTGACATATGGAGATGCAAACTGACCGCTGAAGCGGTAGGAGGTCTCAGTACTTTTAGTGCCACTCTCAATCTTAAATTCTATGACTACACTATTTTTCTGTAAATAATACTTTATCATACAGAAGTTCATTACTTGTTTTGACATCTTTTACTAAACAAAATTACAACTTCAAAATACATACAACTATAATTTGTCAATTTGCAACAAAAAAAATTAAAAACATTACAACTTCAGTAATTAGTAGCCTAAAACAGGGAAAAGGAAGGAAGAAAGCAAGCCTCTGACTGGACAGCAGAGGCCACTACTTGGATCTACCTGCTCCTCTGCCTCAGTTCTATCCCTGGTCTCTTCCCATGGGCTTCTTCCCTATAGCTCAATAAGATTAAGATACACACACATACATTTCTGTTTTGGGGGGTGCTGGGCATGTTTATGATCTTGATTATGGTGATGGTTTCACAGTTGTTTACATAGGTCCAGGCTCACCAAGTGATACTTTAAATGTGCAGTTTAAAGATACATCTTTTTCTATACACATTCCCCCCTTAATGTATTTGGAAACTCAAATTTCTAGAAAGAATAATGTATACAAGTGTTTTCCAACTACTCATGTTAAGAGCCAACCACCAACAACCAATTAATTACTAAACCCAATCGACACTGGACCTTGTATTATTTGATTTCTTTCCTTCATTTGAGACTGATGAATGCTTTCCTTTCTGCAAATTTCCATCTTATCTGGGCTTCCATATGTCTTCTCTGTTTCTCTCTTTTCATTTTTTAAGGTCTTTTCTTTCTCTGCAAGTTCCCTGGGATCTGTTTTAAATTCTCTTCTTAGTCCGCATGTTCTCATGGGTGATCTCATTTGCTTTTATGAATTTTGCTACTATCAATATGCTTAGAGTGTCCATAATTCTATTTTTTTTGAGCAGTGCTGGAATTTGAATACAGGGCCTTCTTCTTGCTAGGCAGGTGCTCTACCACTTGAGTCAGGCCCCACTCCCACTTTTTTTCCTTTACTTACTTTTCAGATAGGTTCTTATGCTTTTTTTTGCTTGGGCTTGCCTGGATCATGATCCTCTTGCCTATGCCACCTGTGTAGCTGGGATTAGAGATGTGATCCACTATGCCTAGCTTTTGAAATGGGTCTTGCTAACTTTTTGCCTCAAACTAGGATCCTCCTGATCTCTGTTGGGATTATAGGCATGATCCACCATACCTGGTTCATATTTCTATTTTTAATTCAGATTTCTTTCCTAAATTCCAGACCAACATATCTAATATTCTGCCTTACTCTTAACATCCTGGATATCTCAAGGGCACATTAAACTCAACATATCAAAACCAGAAGGGATCATGTTATCTTCTATTTCTGTACTCTGAATCTCAAGTGATGGTGTTAGCATTCATCCAGTTGTTCAAGTCAGAAACCACTCATCCTAGATTCTTTTCTGTTACTTCCCCACGTCTATAAGGTCACTATTATTTCACACAATTCCCTGAGTCTTTATCAGATTTGTTCCTGACCTCCCTATCTCTACTATATCTTTTTTATACTTTCAGTTTATTAACTAGAATAATACCAAACTCTGACTGCTTCTTCCCTCCATGTCTTATTCATTCTCCAAATATGTATATCATAATCTCCAAAATGCAGTGCTGAGCATGTTAAAAACCCCTGGCTGATGATTCTCCAAGTTAGTAAGGCTCAAACTTATCATGGTGGCAAACAGGGCCTTTGTGATTTTGTTCTTTCTAGTCTTTTTTTTTTTTTTTAATTATTCATATGTGCATACAAGGCTTGGGTCATTTCTTCCCCCTGCCCCCACCCCCTCCCTTGCCACCCACTCCACCCCCTCCCTCTCCCCCCCATCCCCTCAATACTCAGCAGAAACTATTTTGCCCTTATTTCTAATTTTGTTGTAGAGAGAGTATAAGCTATAATAGGAAGGAACAAGGGTTTTTGCTGGTTGAGATAAGGATAGCCATACAGGGCATTGACTCACATTGATTTCCTGTGCGTGTGTGTTACCTTCTAGGTTAATTCTTTTTGATCTAACCTTTTCTCTAGTTCCTGGTCCCCTTTTCCTATTGGCCTCAGTTGCTTTTAAGGTATCTGCTTTAGTTTCTCTGCGTTAAGGGCAACAAATGCTAGCTAATTTTTTAGGTGTCTTACCTATCCTCACCCCTCCCTTCTTTCTAGTCTTATTTCCAGGTTCTCACTTTACTCATCCTGAGATCCAATTAATTGGATCCACAGTACAGTTTCTCACACGTACCACAATGCTCTATATTTAGGATATTTTTTGTTTGAGACCAGAATCTCTCTGTATAATCCAGGTTGGCCTCAAACCGACAATTCTTCCACCACCCTCCCCCAGTGCTGTGGTTTACAGATATTAGCTGCCACACCTGGAAATTTAGGGTGCTTTTGCCTGCTTTACTGTCTGGAAGGCTTTTCTCATTACTTTCACTAAGTGGTGAATTCTGTCTTTTTCCCCCCTACTGTGTGGAATTTTCCCTGAATCTTGAGGTAGAAATAGGTGTTACTGCATTGACATTTCCTTGATACTTGCTATGGTTTGCATGTCTCCTAAAACTCTTTTGCTAGAAACTTAATCCCCAAAGTAACAGTGTTGAGAGCTGGGACTTTAAAGAGGTCATGTAGACTCTGCCCTCATGAATGGATTAATGTCATTATCAAGAGTGGGTTTATTGTAAAAGTGAGTTTTGTCCTCTCTTGCTTTCACTTGTGCATGTTCTTTTGCGCTTCTGTCTTCTGCCATGGGATAACACAGTAAAAAGAACCTTACCAGATGTGGGCCCTTCAATCTGGAGTCCAGCCTCTGAACGGTGAGATATATATCCCTCATATTAGGACTGTAGCTCAGTGGTAGAGTACATGCTTAGCACACATGAGATCCAGGGTATAATCCCCAGCACACCAACCAAACCAAAACAAAAAATAATCTTTGATATTTATAAATTATCCAGTCTCAGATATTCTGTTACAGTGACACAAATAGACTAAGACAATTCCTTTGGCTTTTCTTAGTTTCACATTCTTTATAGCAAAGCATAACCTTCTATTTACTTGTTCACATCTTCTGAGTTCCTAGAGGATGGTGCCTCAGTTTTTCCTGTTTGTATTCTTGCTGGCTAGCACTTTGCTTGGATGCATTAGGGACCTGAACATGTTTATGGGATGAATCAATGAATTTAGAGGACAAAGCACTGGTTAAGATTTCCTAAGACTTGAAAGAATGAAAATTCTTCCCTCTGACCTCCCTTGTAACAAAGAAAATTCCATTAGGCAAATTTTTATTGAGTACTACTAGGAATAAAAGATATACACTGCTCCTTGACTTTTGGAAAGCCCTGTTCAATTAGATAAAGATATTTATTTATTCCTTCTTCATTGAGCAGAGATTCTCAAAGTGTGGTCTGGGAAACTCTAAACGTCTCTTAAAATGTCTTAGGGGTCTGTGAGAATAAAACTATTTTAATAATAGTACTTAGATGTTATTTACCTTTTTCATTTTTATTGTAAGTATATAAAGCAGTTTCTCAGAGGCTATATGCTGTGTGATATCACAACAAATTAAATGCAGAAGCAGATGTAATTATTTGTCTATTTTCTAGTAAATTAGACCGTTAACAGGTTTGTAAAAACATTAAAAATTTTAAAAGAATGCCACTTTCACACAATTTTTTGAAATACCTTAAAAATAAATACTATAGTTTATGTTAATATGTAATAGGTTTACTATTTTAACATGATTAAAAGTAGTTATGAATTTTTCTGACTTAACTGCCAGTATAATAAATATCAATAAATATATACAAATTGTGAACAAATCGCCTCAATAATTCAGGCGACTGAATTAAGTACTGTCTGAGAGTGGACATCAGACAGTACTTACGACTACAGAACTTCGTATAGTGGATACAGTGAATATGCAAAAGCCCCAAACTGAGGAACATTCATGTCATCCTTAAACATGTTTTCTGAGTACATGAGAAAAAAATGGTGTAGGTACGCGCTAGGCTAGTGTTTTTCAAGGTATAGTCTTTCACCTGCATATCAACAGCTTCTGTTTTTTCTAAATATAAGATTCATGGGCCCCAGAACCTCTAGGGATGGGGCCCTGTAAGCCATATTTTAAACAAGTCCTGCAGGTGGTTTTCTTTCCTTTCCTTTCTTTTAGATAGGATCTAAAAGTCCAGGATGGCTTTGAATTCACAATGTAGCCAGGGCTAGTTTCAAACTCCTGATCCTCCTGCCTCAGCTTCAAAGTGCTGGGATGACAGGCGTGTGCCACCACAACCATATTCCTCAGATGAATGTCACACTTGCTGGAGTTCGAAAATCATCACAAGGGTGTTTCAGGTAGAGGGACAGTGGTTTGAGGTAATTAGCACAAGTAATCACAGCTAGCTTCCTGGTGTGGGTGAGCAATGAGCTAAGATTTTGAAGTAGAAAAGGGTATTATCTTGAAGTCAAGGTAAAAAGGTGATTTAGGCAGAGAAACAGCAAGAATTAAGGTGGGTGACTAGACTAAGCAAGATGAATCTGACAAAGAACAAGCAGACCTAGCTGGCTGAGGTGCACAAGCTGCATAAAAGAGAAATTAGAGGTAAATTTGAGTCTACAGTATTTATGAAGTATTTTGGAATCTGGTTTTTTTTTTCCCTTTGTGATGAATATTTTTGAGAAAGGGTCTCCTGAACTATTTGTCCGGGGCTAGCTTTGAACTGTGATCCTCCTAATCTCTGCCTCTTGAGTAGCTAGGATTACAGGTGTGAGCCATTGGCACCCAGCAGTACTTTGGAATCTTGCCTGCAACACTGAACTCAAAAAGCAGTAAATTCTTGAAAAATTCTGCTAAAAATTCTTGAGCAGAAAAGGATCAGATGAAGCAGTCTTTCTGGTAGTTTATTACACATTGAGGGGAAATATAGCAAAAGACTGGGAGTGAAGACGTGGCTGACATTTTCAACTTTTATAAATCTACTCCTCTATAGTAACTGTGGACAAAAGTTGTGTGCACTGTACCTTCTAATTTCTGGATGCGTGCAGCCCTGATATCAAGAAGATGAACATACTGCTCCACTTTAAGTTCATAATCTTGCTGCATATTTTCCATCTTATGGGTCACTGCCTCAACTTCCATCTAAAAAACAAGAGATGCTAAGTTTCAATACTTAAGATTAGTCCATTTTCATTTTTCAAAGCTACTATGATTCAGGCATTTTCTAGATGGGCCACCAGGAGCTGTAAACCATGGTATCCTGACCTCAGTTTAAAAAACTAAGCTTGCAGTCAGTGTTCACAGATTGTAAGTAAAATACGCAAAGCTCTGGATTCCCTTTTATGGAGATGAGTTTCCACTTTGTTAAAAGCTAACCTAAGGTGACTGTGGCAGGACTTGAGGATAACTCTGATGTATCTGCTAACACTATGGAGGTGAGTTCACTGTCACTACTCATTCCTAAACCAGGGACTTAAAATGTTTGTTAACTATTTATTCTAACTACCTAGGTTCAAGGCTAAACTCTAGGGATGTGGTAACATACAGTAATAGGTGATAACAGATTACGATATGATACTTCTTAGAAAAGTAAATCATCAGCAGAATATCAGAAAACCTACCCTTTCAATTTTAGTGTATTACATTACCTGATAATCTTTATTAATTTTGTGTTGTAGAATTAGCATGTTTCTTGTCTTTTCAAGTTCTTGCACTGTTTCTGCATGAGTTGCTTGCAGATCTCTCATCGAGCGCTCTAGATCTTTATTAATTGTACAGTCTACTTTCTCTAAAAATGAAAGGTCTCCATTTTTCTGTTCTTTTTGAGCCTAAAGAAAAACATTTATTACTGAAACAAGAATCTTGAATGTGATCATGTGAACTAATGTAGATACAGCAAGAGATAATCATATATTGAAACCATGTATTTTCATCCGTAATAAAGTATTCCTAACATACATATATGGATAGAGATTTGCCACAATTACAGAGAAATCAAAAAACACTTTATTACTTCACAACATAAAAAAGAATCATGGACATTTATTTGTATATCTTCATTCAACTAAAATGTACAATGTGACTTAAAAAGGAAAGAAGTACATTTTTCTTGTGTCTTCTTATAGATAAAAGAATACCCTAGACTAGAAAATATATTCTTGCTATATTTATAACTTGGTATTTTACTTACAATAATATAGTTCAAATCAAGATCTTTTAGGGCAGAAAAGTGTATAGTGAGCCAGGTAAAAGTAAGATGTTTGTTACAGTTAAAGACAGTGCTTTAAATAAGGGTTTCTGAGGTCTATCTTAATGTAATTTTGATGTTATTATGAATTATGCATATGCTTTAACTAAATGTCACCAGAACATCTTCTTCAGTCTCAGTAGAGTTGATATGTGATGAATTTATATATATCTATATATATGTATATATAGATATATATATATACATATGCATAAAACAGGCACTACATTTCAGAAGATGCTCAAATAATTCATTCTCCAACTATAAGGGCTACAGATGAAAGTCATCATTATGTTGAAACAGTTATATGAAGATAAGAAATTATGGTCAAGTTCAAAAAGTTACCTTTATAAGCAGGAGAGCTTCACTCAATTCATCAGCATTAATATCACTTTCCTGCAATGGGTTAAATAAAAACTTTCAATGAGATGTTACTGGAAGGTACAAGAGACAGTCAACTATTTAAGTCATCTTAATGAAGCCTGGGAGCCTGAGACCATGAATTAATGAACTACGTACAGGAGACACTCCAACTATTGAGAATGTCCTCACAGAACATAAGCTGCCTAATCATGCATAGAGTAAATAAACTAAGTGATATCCTGAATTGCTTTTATTTTGTAATACAGTATTTTCTCTAGGGATAAAATATGTAGATAAAATTCATTAAATAAGACAATAATTCACCTGGTTGAAAAACTTCAGGCGATTTTTAAGTTCATCAAGTTGTTGCTTTTGTTCCAGATGCTGTAACTGTAGTTCTCTATTCTCTTGAATGAGTTTCTCATTTTGGTCTTAAAAATAAGTCAACACAATTAGAAAGATAGGTAAGTGACAATTAGGTCAGAGAACACTTTTCAAATTAATTTAATTCCTGTTACACACCAAGCTGGATCTAGTGTCGCTCAGGTCAGAGAGGAAATTGAGCTAGTACCTAAAGAAAGGCAGCAGGAGAACGAGGAGTGAAGAAACACTATCATGTGTCTACCATATGATTTGAGGCTTATCAAAAACGTAAGTTCATAGTATTAATATAAGGAAATTGTGGCCTCCGAGACTTCAAAGAAACATTCTATTTAAAATGCCTAAGAATATGCATTTCGAAATATATGATTTTTACTTCCTTATTAAGGGTCCTGAAAGGCATGCAAAAATTTTTTTCTTTTAGTTTTTGTCTTTTAGTTTTGAAATTTCTTTCCTCAACTTAGCATAAAGTCTTTGTATTAAAACAAGATAATATATCTAGTAAACTGCAAATCTGTAATTTAATCAGTAGTACTTCTAACAAATCTGTTCCAATAGGAGAAACAGATTCTTAACCAGTGCAAGGTAGTATCAATGATAATTCACATGTGTCCATTGTTCACTGAGTTCATGCTATTAATTAATGGGACAAAGACTTAGTGCTATCATTAAGGAATGGATATGAATTCCGTGTGCCTAGGCACACATTTACCATGACCGTCAAGCAGGAATATAAAGTAGAGCTACCAGACATGGCAAATTCATAGAGACTAATTTTTTTCCTCTCTGCATTAAACATGTTTAAAATTTTAAAAGCATAATAGCTGGATGACAAGTGTGTATTCTTAGTCTCATGTTCTCAAGTGTGCTTCCTGCTAGGGTTACTGACAACCACCATCAGTAACCCTCCCTTGTGGACTCCCCATAGGCTTATCTAAACTATGTCATCTAAAACATCTCCACTAATTTCTTTCTGCTCTCAATGACTTATGTTTATCATAAGTCCTCAATTTAAGTTGTACACTTTTGTTGCCTTTTCTTAAAAAAGAAATCAATACATTTTCCAAGAATTCTTTCCATGAATTCATTTGCATTCAGATTACATTTTATTTTTTTTGCAGTACACTGGGGTTTGAACTCAGGGCCTTGTGCTTGCTAGGCAGGCACTTACCACATAAGCCACTCCTCCAGCTCTGATTACCTTTTATATAAGAATGTTTCTGACTTTTTTAAGGCTTGTGTTCCCAAGCTATACATACTACATCTAAGTAACAATGTTAAATTACAGTTAAGAAGAAATGAATTAAATTTGGATATTTTTAAGATCATGTATTTCCTAGCAATCTAAAAACCAAAAAAAATGCAACCCTAAGATATACAAAGATAGAGATATTTTAATATAAATATATACCCCCTCCTTTTTTTGGTACTGTGGATTGAAACCTAGGTTCTGGCACATGCCACGCCTCTAGACCCTTTGTTTTTGAGATAGGGTCTTGCTAAATTTGCTTGGCTGGCCTCAAACTCAAGATCCTCTTGCCTCTGCCTCCAGAGCAGTGAGGATTATAGATATGCACTATGATGCTCAGCTCAAATATATAAACACTTAAATCTTATTGGTAGAAGGCTAAAAGGTCATCTTTCAGTGTAAGTTGCTTATATCTAGTGAACCAAAAGGATCTCTAAATGTGAAAAATACTTAATCATTAGGCCACAACAAAAAATGTAAACACAGTCAGAAGGATGACAAACCAAAGATCTGGAGGAACATAATTTCATTCTATGGCCATGAAAACACTAAGGGCTTAAGCATGAGCTAAAGTATAAGGAACGTGACTGCTCCATCTTAATCTAGTATGTACTTTATTATTTCAATGCTCCAGTTTTTCTACCGTTTTAATTTTTCAGAGCACAGTTTCTAAGAATGATATGCTAATAGGTAATAAAGTCATTTAAATGTTTCCATCCTTTACTCATCTTTGTTTCACCAACTGTGTCTGTGTTTACTGACATTTTAAAAACTAGGGCATTATTGCAGGAGAGTAACTTAGTGGGAGAAGACATCACCAAGCATCAGTAACCTCTCTGCTCAATTTATATAGAATTATACACTATATTTTTCCTTTCTCTGACTGTGTATTGAGGATATAACTCTTGGGTTTTTCAAAAAAGTACTGAAACACTACAGTTCAAACAGGAAATAGACTTGCTGAATTATAATATGAGAAATCAAAGCATTCTGTACAAGATGAAAAATAACCTCCTTACCTTATGATTTGACAAAAAGCAGGTTAAGCTAAACAGCATTTTATTCAAATGAGATAACATTTCACTCTTTCAAATTTATGTTCTTCCAGCACATTATTAAGGAAAGTGCAGAGAATAATTTAAACAATTTCAGAGCCCTCTTGTGCTAATATCTTCAGCTGTGATCAATATAACCATATGCATTATGCTGAATTATGCATTTCAGCTAAAGATAGAAAGGAACTTTTAAAAAAAGCAAGCCTTAAACACATGCAGTTAATTTAAGCATTAACCAAATGCAAACTGCATTTACATATCCTTCCCCCACACATTCACACAATCTGAAACTAATTTGTACCTTGAATAAAGAGGTGAGCATTCTCTAAAAATGATTTGCCAGTTAGATGAATGACTATAAGAAGCCAGGGAAACAACTCTGACAAAGAGCACTGACACATGAAGAGGATGGTGTTTGAGGAGACTTCAAAGTAGAATCAAAGAATTAAAATCTGTGTGAAAACCCAACTTTCTAAATATTAAAACACTTCCTGATATAGATAACTTCAATTTTTTAATTTATTGTTTCCCTGGAAAAAATAAAGGCTATGTTTTTCTTATAACTTATAATGTCTTTACAAATAAATAAAAACTTGAATCCTTAGACTTACAAGTTTGAACTATTCAAAGAAAAATAACTGGAAAATAACAGTTCAGGTAATTTTTCTTTAGAAAGTAACTGGAAAAATGTGTAAAAATTTCTCTGGAAAGATGTTGTTTATGATATTTAAAAATAATGAAGTTATGGACTGGGGGCATGGCTCAAGTGGTAATGTGCCCACTTAGCAAGCAAGAGGCCCTGAATTCAAACCCTAATATCACACCACCAAAATAAAGAAGTTATTTAAATATTCACCAACAAAAGACAAATAATCTATGGTATACCCACACAATGAAAAACTGTAACAGCCATTATAAATGATGATGACATAGATTTAAATTTATACTCAAGGTTGGATATACTCAGGGTTGAGTGTAGTGGCACATGCCAGTAATCCCAGCTACTTGGGAAGCAGAGGTTGGGAGGGTTGAGGTTTGAGGCCAGCTAGGGCAAAAAGTTAGTGAGACCCCCCCCACCTCCATCTCAAGAAACAAGCCAGGGACGATCATGTGCATCTGTAATTCTAGGCATAGATGGCATAGGGAGGAGGACTAAGGTCCAAGGCCAGTGTCAGGAGAAAAGTGTGAGACCCTATCTGAAAAAATAACTAAAGAAAAAAAAGTGCTAGGGGCATGGCTCAAGTGGGAGAGTACCTGCCTAGCAAGTCCAAGGACCTGAGTTCAAACCCCAGTACTGCCCCCAAAAAGGGGGGGCAATGATCTTACAATATAGTAAATAAAAAGTGTATTAAAGAGGTATATGCATATATTAACAACTCTGAGAAGACAGAAATCAAATGTTGGCAGTGATTATCCTGAGGCTGTGAAGTTGAGTGATTCTCAGTTTTTTGTTTAATAGACTTTTTTTCACAGTGTACGTGAGTTATTTTGATTATTCAAAAACATCCTCAAAATACATAAGCTCCTGTATAAAATGGAGATGGACAGATAATTAAAATGTCTTAGCAACTGTAATACTTAATAAGAACTCTCAAAATAAACAGTGTAAAGAAAAAACTAGGAATCTACCCCTTAGAAAGTGTTTCTTAGAGCTGGGGGCACAGCCTTTTCAGAGACCAATCAGATGTCTTAGAAATAAAAGTTTTAGAATTGTTGGTATCTCTGGAAATAGAAAGTATAGAAACAACAACAACAAAAAGGTTTCTTTCATTTCCTTTTAAAAATGAGCAGTTTGTTAGCTTCTGGAGGTGAGAGAGGGAAGACAGACCACTTGTATTTGCTCCAGTGGACAAGCATTTATTGAGCAACTACAAGACAAAGCACTCTGTTAGACATTCAACAACGCACACCACAATCAGAACTGTATCTGTGACATGAAAAATTTTCAACACCCATCAGGTCAAAAAACATGTCACCATTTTATTACACTCACAACCTTCTACAACAATTCATAATCATCAAATTTAATCTCTTGGTGAATAAATACTGATTACTGTATTTCATTGTAATAAAGACTATACTGACTATACGATGTTCTCCTATTTCAGGTTTGTTGACATGTGAAAAAAAGTCTGACCACATGCTTATTTTTTAATTAATTATTTTTTTAGGGTAGGGTCTCAATATACAGCTCAGGCTGTCCTTGAATTTATAATCTTACTACCTCAGCTTCCCAAGTGCTGGGATTATAGGTATGTGCCACCACACCCAGTTCTGACCACAGTTTTAAATTGCTATCACATAAGATACAATGTGAAAAAATGTTCCTTTCAGTCAGTAAAATATGACATTATGATCTAAATTAATACATAAGAGAACTAACTAAAGTATGATTCTTTTGTTGAGTTTGTATTAAACTTTTTTTTTGTGTGTGAGACAGGGTCTTGGTATGCAGCCCAGAGTGGCCTCGAACTTGCAATCTTCCTGTCTCAGCTTTCCACTTGTTGGGATTACAGGTATGTACCTCCACACCCGGGCTGTATTAAACTTTTAAGCATTCTTATGCAACTAAATAGCAAATATTCAAAGGAGTACCTTAGTATGGCATTATTTAGTTTATCTAGTGGATGGGCACACAGAAGTAGCACTTGATTCAAACAGTTTATCTCCCCCACGGTGCATATTTGTACTATATATAAGTGTGTGTGATACAGTAGTTCAGGCACCTTTAATTATAATAATTTTAGTTCTATGAGACAAAAAAGGTTGAAGTCTATGACTCATGACATGAAACTTACTAATGATTATTTTAGCAGAAACACTTGATAAGACTCCCTGATATCTACATCCACTGTCTCAGAACAGAATCAGATATCTCACTATCAGAGGTCTTTCCAGTTGAACCTATCAAAACCAGCAAGCAATGACTTCTGCCACTGTCATCTTACATTGCTGTTTTTCTTCATTGCATTTGTCACCACCTGACATATTTGCTTAATGATTGTCAGTTTCTCCCTATTAAATTTATATTTCTTGAGTGCAAGGCCTTTGTTTCATTATTGCTATATCCTTAGAACTTACAATAGTGCCTAGCATATACTGATGCGTAATAAACACTTGTTGACTGTTGAAAAAAGAAAGGCTCAGAATTTAGGAAAATTAAACACATTTAATAAGACAACCTGAATAAAAGTAACTCTGAGAAAAAACAATTGTTTTGTTTGGCAAATGTGCTAGGCTGAGTAAGAGAAATTTTCAACAACTAGTAAATTTATGAAAGTGGATGGCTGTCAATCAGGTTGTGTCCCCAGTACTAGCAAGGTGACCAGCAAACAGCAGGCACCACAGGGAGTACTGGTTGGCTCAGTGAGTGAACATCAGATGTCTGAATGAGTAAGTTGGCAGTTACTTTATATGTACCTCGTTCAGTCTTTAATCTGTCAAGGACTTCAGTTTTGTCTGTTAAATCAGATTTCAAGGCAGTCTCAAGCTGAGCAATCTGTACTTTCAGCTGCTGTTCCTTTAACTTCCATTGCTCTTCATGGACAGCACCAAATGCACTGCAAAACACACGTGACAGGCAAGGAAAGCTTGGAAATTAGCTTCAACCGAAAATAATAAAGAGAAAAGCTTTTAGTGGCACAGAGACCACTGTCATCATGTCTTAGGAATTAAGTAAACATATGCTGGTCTGCTGCTGTTGAAACCAAGGCGCCTTTCTCAGGCTGCGGTTAGGAAACATGAAAGAGTCTGTGGGATGAGCAAAGGAACTGGCCTTAATTTAGAGCTCTAAAGTCAGAAAAGTTGGCAGCGTGCAGCTTTTGTGCATACTTTGGAGGAATCCACAATTCAAAACCTCAGCAACTGACATGGGACAAAACCATTCTCCCTACTTATAAGCCCTCTGCATACTGAGAAAATGGACTTTCCACCTGCCCCTTGATTCTGTGACACTTTTCAAGACTCTGTGATAATAACATATTCACAGAATACTGGCCACAAAATGACAGTATATTGAACCACAAGACAGCAATTCTGATACGGATTAAGAAGTAATGATAATGCAATTTTGTCCTAAAAAACAAAAAGCAATAGGCTAAGAACAGTTTCACTTATGATTGGTATGAATCCAATGCCCTGTATCTAGTAAGAATAATGAAGACAGAATTACTCTTCCTGTATAAAAGTACAGCAGCTTTAATTATGATTAAGATCTGCTAATGGTCAAGGCCTAGCATATCGGAAGATACACAGAGGTACACAATAACCATTATTTACCTGGTGGCTCCCAAGTGCTCTGTACACAATGGTGCCACCCCAGCTAGTTGCACTACCACTTAGGGAGATGTAAAAACAAAGGCCCTAGGGTCCAGGAATTTCTATTTTCCTAAAGTTCCTCAAGTGATAGCCAGGTTGTAGAAAAACTGATCTTGACCTTCATTTCAGTAGAAAGCCATTATCTGTGAAGCTTGATATGATTGAATAATCATCAGCAGCTTTGACCCTTGTACTTATTTTAAACCCAGTACATGAAACAAAAATGTGTAAAATCTGGTTTTATGCTGATGATGAACTAAATGGAAAAGAAATGTATTATTGAATATTGCCCTTAATGTTGCTACCAGCTACTTTTGAGGCTTTATTCCAAAAGAGGTACTTTTCTGGGAGGTATAGCTTTCAAAAGAGCAAAACTGTATTCATTTCACATTTTGAATATTTTTATTGCTTTTAAAATAATATGACCTTGAAATTAAATGGAATTCTAGAAGCTCCTCTAAATATGACATCTGTTTCTTCTACCAATGTCTCATTTCACATATGGAATTAAAAAATGTATGGGTCTGATGTATCAATATTTTAAGCTAATTTCATCAAAGGTACAATTACCTTAATTGAAACCCAAATAAAATATATATACTTTAAGTACCAAATTAAGAATGTTCCTTTATAAACTCATTTAAAAATAAAGAACAAATATAATTTCTGTGTCTGCCAGATGATATACACAAATGTACATACATATGCATGAGTGTGAACACACATACACATACATGTGTATGTCTTCTATTATTAAAAACATGTACCACCTGGAAAAAAATTATCATGATGAAATAGGCAAAACTATACATTATATCAGATGCCAAAAATTAGAAACAGTAGTGTTCCAATAGCATTAGTACCAGCAGAAAGATCACCAACAGCTAATCTGGCAGAAACATCAGAAGCTGTATGTGTTTAAATTAAGAACAATTTAGCAGCCTGGTTTTTCCAAACCCACAAAATACTAGTGTAAATCAGTATAAGTCAATCTGAATTTAGTCCACTGCTATTTTCCCTCTAAATTTAGGATTACATTCCACTGGAGTTTCATGAGGAATTCCATTTGAATTTACTGTATTTCTCTATGCTCGGAGCCATCTGTGTAACTATAAATGGTGAACCCCATCTGGCTCCATTTTCTTTGTAAGAGCTGTATACATGATTAAATCTGCATATGAGAGCAGCTTTTGAGATCCTTTTATTCATGAAAACATTTTCGGATTATTGCCAACAGTGACAACTGAGGGAGGACGATAGTCTTTGTACCCATTTCACTGTTACATTATGTTACAGAAGTGATAGACTGTTAGTCTGCAGTGGAATGCCCACTGGTGCCTGTGGTCACTGGCATGTCCATTGGCAGCCCTGGGTCTTGGCACACTGTAAACATACATTCTTGATCAAAAACATGATAAGATCAAAATAAAAGCCAAAGAATTCTTCTCCACCCTCAGGTTTTCTTTTCTTGCAGAAGAAATTCCATTTATTCCAATGTTCAAAGACATTCTAATGTGAGAACTGAAGGAGAATAAACTCATCTATAAAGAAATCCATAGTACTTTAGGTAGGAAGATTGCAGGATGTTTATAAAAACAGAGCAAAGCTCTTTTAAATTTCAAATATTAGATGACTGTTACAGCATAAGAACAATAAAAAAGGTTGTTATAATTTTCAAGTTAGATGAACAGTTAAAAAACAGGCATTAATGCTGGTTTTTTTTTTGAGTGGCTCAAGTGGTAGAGTGCCTGCCTAGCAAGTGTGAGGCTCTGATTTCAAACTCCAGTACCATCACCAAAAAAAAAAAAAAAAAAAAGGCATTAAAGCTTATGCCTGCAATACTAGATACTTGAGGAGCTGAGATTGTGAGGATTTTGGTTCAAGGTCAGCATGTGCAAATAGTTTGTGAGACCCCCCTCCCCGCCCCATCTCCAAAATAACTAGAGCAAAATGGACTGGATGTGTAGCTCAAGTGGTAGAGTGCCCACTTTGAAAGCCTGAAGCCTTGAGTTCAAACCTCAGTCCTACCCAAAAAAAAAAAAAAAAAAAAATGGTATATGTGTGTTTTCAGATAAGTGGGGAGGCTCTAAAAGTTTGATGAAACCTACATTTGAGTAATTTTTCCAGATTACTGCTAATATTATTATTGAAGAACCATTGTATTCATTAGTTACATGGCCCCAAAACTATACTAACTTCAAAAATAAATCATAGTTTTATCATATTACAATATGAAGCTTCTCTCTGACCAGATTTAATTGCAAAAAATGTATTTTGAATTTTTAAATTTAACACTCTTCAAAAGTCTTACTTCTTGGCATTGTTTCAAAAATGTTTTAGCATATTAAAAAAGGCTCATACCAAATACTAACATGAGGGTTTTATCTTACCACATAATTCTCTTAAAATGTCATATGTCAAGTAATAAACACATTCAAAATTTCATTTGAGAAAGGAAGATGAGAATGCAATCTGCAAATCACATTTTTCTCTTGAAAACAAGCCAATTTTGAATAACAAACAAATGCTCTCCTTCTTAAAACATACTGTCATTATGACTAACCAAACAGCGAGTATACATAGTTTTTGATGAACATTAGTTGTTGGCAGTGATGAATAATAACAGTGCAGTGAAACAAAAGGGCTGTGAAGAATCTTAGGGACAACGCTGATTTTTATAGTGTCTGCAGCTATACTTCTGAAAACATATTTAAAAAATCATATTAGAGGATTTTGTAGTTCTATTTATTATTACATGTACATGTTAGGTTTTGAGCTCAAGTGTCATTAATTTTTTGACATTAAACGTTTTGACACTCATTACGCACACTAGCTTTCATACTCTTCATATAAAATTCAAGTATAAGCAGCATACTAAGGTCTGTTTTCATTGTGACAGGAAAAAAATGTAGCTTAAGCATAAAGCATAAAAAAAACCTTCATAGCCAGATTTACACTCCTAGATCATCTTCTAATATGGAAAGATAAAAGTTCTAGGGTGATTAAGTAAATATGAGAAAATATGCCTTGTCAAAATTCCATTTATGTAGTATTCCCAGCTAAATCTGACATTTCTAATTCCAAGAAAGTAGGTTTAGTAAATTCTCAAGTTGGGGATAAGTAAAAAATTTAAAAGGAATGGCCAAATGGCATTTATTGTCTTGTATTTAGAGCACGTTAAATTATTTGAAAATTCAAGATATTTTAAGACAAATACAAAGCAATAAAAATTTCCGAATGTATCACAGTTCCATTATCTGATGAATGTTTCTCTTTTACATAAACAATTTTCCAATATAATTAAACTCAGAGACACAGTGAAGCACTGGGGAGAAATTCAAGTTTTGGAGTCAAAAGAACTGGGTTTTGGTTCTCTATTGGAGGCTCAGCAGTGCTGTGTGGCTCTCTCTATACAAGTGTCTTCATTTTTCTATAGATTCGATTCCCTCATTTGCAAAATACAGGGCTATCATTATCTTTTCTGACTTCTAATAGAGTACTGTGCAATCTGTGTACTGAGAGTTGAAATTTTCAGATATGTAATTACTAAGTATCTTGATATATATCAATATAAATCTATGCATTATTCTAGAAGCAAATACAATAAATTCTTCAGGTAAAATTAACCAGGGATGGGGATGGGTGTGTAGCTCAAGTGGTAAAGTACCTGCCTAGCAAATACAAAGCCCTGAGCTTAAACTCCAGTACTTCCCACCTCCCCCCCGCCCCGACTGTAAAAATTAATTGGGGTTGATGAGAAAGGGACCAGAATAAACCTTGGGAAAAAATGATGTGGAAGGAGGTCCAAGGCAAAGCCCACAAAAAGATTTTTAGCTGTTTCACCCTTGCTGAAGGTCCCTGAATATTATTTTAAATACTGTCCTACTGTTGGTAACCCTTACCATACTGAGCCTGTAATAATGATAATCCAAACTAATATATATGCAACATAAATGGTATAAACCAAAAGGGATTAATTTCCAAAATGCCATAATTCTGAATCAGCATAAAAATTAAAATTGAAGCAGCTCTTTAAACTTTATCTTGAGCTAAGATGCCCGTACTTCTCTTTATAAGGAACAAAGGTAATTGTAAGTAAACACCTTTGTTCTTCCCCACACAATCATTCTCAGTCAATAAGCTGTAGAGCCCAGTGCAGAGATGAAGAGGCTCAAATACAAGTTCTACCATTTCATACCTTAGAAGAGTATGAAATATCTCTCAAAGTTATTTAATTCTGTTTTAGCATTCTTGACTGAATCTGGACATTTACAATGCCCTACATTCCTGATATGAGGGATTAATAAAATAAATGTAGAGTATTGAGCAATGTCTGTTAGTCTATAGTTTGTGTTCAATAAATGATAATGATGGTTACTAGCAACAAAATAGTATGGTTTCTGAGTGGTAACAGACTACTGGTCAGATTAAAAACTTAGTACCAATGCCCTAAAAACCTTGTATTTTTATTTATAAAGTATGAATATTTCTTATTATCATCTGTTGCTAATTCTTCAATCAATATTCTGGAAACAACAAATGTTTTGTTAAAAAAGAGCTCAAATAAGAAAATGAAAGAACACACGGAATAATGATTTACCTGTTATAAAGTTTATCATAGTTTTCCTTTAAAAGTTCCCGTTCCTTTTCTAAATCATTAATTCTATCCTGCAGCTAAAAATGAAAATAAAATTACAAAGAGGTTCCATGGTGTAATGGTTAGCACGCTACACACTGAAAACAAAATTATACATTAGATGATCATCATATAAAACTACACAGGGGTAAGAAACCATGAGGGAATGATAACATGCTTCAGTATTGATTTCTAAATTGCAGAACTACTAACTGGACCACCTATATTGTCTACATTTAATTAAGCATTTTTTCTAAGTTGTTAAGTAAACATGAAATAAATGTTCCTGTTTTAATTTAGTAGAAATGTATTCACTACTTTATGACAACATGTGCCACAAGTAAATAAACAATGTGTTAGGAGCTTGCTGTTAAGTCCTGGGAAACACAATAGTTTTTACTCTCTATCACAGTGAAATCCATCATTATATTCATTTTGTATTAATTTTCATTGGCCCATTAAAAAATAAAAGCATTAACTTTTCTTTAAGTTCATGGCTCAAATAAACTGCACCAATCACTATTTAAACCAAACATATGATTTCTCTTATCACCTAGAATTAACAAATAGCCAGTAGCACATCTTATGAATAAGTAAACAGGATTAAATACAATGTTTTATCCCAGTGAACAATATTTTCAGAAATAAACTTGAAGTAATAATTGTATCTTTACAACTACAATGCAGATTTCTACTCTCTAGGATTTAAGGTTTTATTCATAAGTGTATTTTGTAGTCACATTTTTTTCCCCATTGGATTAGAGTACTCTTAAAATTCATCTCCATTTTCAAAATTTTCCTTTGATGCTAGTAAGAAATAGGAAGAGCTTCTCCCAAGATCGGAACAGAATGTAAGCATCTTATTTCACTTCAATTCTCCTTAGGATTGGATTAAGCTAGAAAAAGACTGGGCTAGTTGGGAGACATGAGTAGCAACAATAACAGGAAGATATGTTTTCAAACAATTTTCTAGAAAAAAAGATAATTCAACAAAATTGCTGATACTGTACAACATAACATCGTCTCCTCAGAAATAGATGTACTCCTGTAATTTTATATTTGTATAACAAATGACTAATAAGCGGTCATAGTTGAGAAAGTTAAGTTCCACAGGTAATGTGGCATCAGATGTTATGTTTTCATTTTACTCAAGGATCTTTAATCCTTTAGGTAAACAGTGGATCTCAGCAAATTTCCAAGTACTGTTAAACTTTGACTTGCCATTCATATATTCTATTAACTACTCTAGTTCACTGTGCTCAAAACACCATATGTGTAGCTTAGAATTAAAAAAACACAATATTTGAAATGTCCTATTTTACTTTTTTAAACAAGAGAAGTTTTAATGCAACAGATGGCTGAACTCTTTGGTAGCTTACCTCTTCTACTCTTTTTTCAGAAAAGGTCATAGAATGTAATTGTTTTTCAAGACTGCAGCATTTTAAACGTTGTTCTTTAAGTTGCATATTTAGCTCATTTCCATTTGCCATCAAGGCATCATAGCTGATCCTGAGAGTTCTTTGCTTCTAAAAAAATCAAAAAGAAAAATTACAAGTGTTATTTTTGGATTATGCTATAAATAAATTACTATACTTCTACGTAGTAATTTACTCTTGAAGCATATGTTATGCAGCTTATTCTTCACATCATAAACCATGTATGTATGCTATTTATCCATATAAATATGATGTCTATATAAATATGGGAGATAATCTCAACCCAATTGTGACATGAGGAAGAAAATGAAGGGTTATCTCAGCACAGTCACATAAGGCAAACTGTCCTTGTCCTTTATTTGTCCTGAGTTGTTGACTTATTGATAGTGACCAATAGTGAATTGATTATAGCAATTACATTTTTCTTTTTACTATGGTTATAGTGGTTTGATATGCTGTCTAAAAATGCTGCAGGATGGGGCCAAAAAAGCTGACCACTGAGGTTTACTAACAGGATTTGCCATCATACCATGTAACAGCCTTGATGTTTAGCTTTTAATTTTAATATAGTGAAGTTAAAAGTTTTCAATTCAGTAAAATAGTTATGAACTCTTCTTGATTTAAAAAATGGTCATGAATATGCTCTATATTCAGTTTTATACACTTAAATGTTTCATACTTCTTTTATAAATAAAAAGGTAATAGAGGTCATATGGCCATACTATGTAATGCCTCCATGCTAACGAAAGTCATCAAGTTCTACTAAGGTTTTTCTTAGTTCACTTAAAAGAAATATGGCTAGGGCTGAAGGCATGGCTCAAGTGGAGAGCACCAGCCTAGGAGTGCAAGGCCTGAGTTCAAACCTCAGAAAAGAAACATTGTTACTGAGTTACTTCAGGCTAATTTTCATTAATCTTGGTATAATTATAGAACATTATCTTTAACAAGCTTCCTCTGGGCTTCCCATTTCATTGAAGCTGTTTGCCTTAATTTCTCAAATCATTATGTCAGTTCCCACAAGAGGTATCAATAATACAGCAGATGCTTATTACTGTTGGTATTTGCACAAATAGCTGATGTCACTGCTAAGTGGAAATCAAAATAATCAAAACAGTAAGAACATGTAAAATAATTTGTCACTTACTTTCTCAATTCCTGATTTTAGAAACTTTTTTCAACTACTTGTAGTTTTAATTTCCCCCTTCTAGCTATCTGCAGAGTGCTACCATTCCCACTTGCTCCACTCATCAATCAGTCTCTTTGCTTACAAACTCAAACATTTATATGGAAGGTAGTTATTACTGGGCATTTAAGGAGGTTCCTGAAGGATCACAAATACTACCCAGAGTATGGTTGAAAAAATTAACTATTTAATTTAATAGTGAATTTAGGCTTCAGATGACCCTGTGCTTTGTTATCAGTTTACTGCATTCCTTGTCTCAGTACTTCAAAGAAAGTACTGCTTAATATAAATTCTGCTCATCTGGAATGTTCTGGAGTTCATTAATTCCAGAACCCATGTTAATTATGCATTGCCAATAAATAGGAGTCCTCTGATGGCACATTCCTGTGGGGCCATAGTTATTTTAAAAACAACTGTGGTGATGAAGAATTCTAAGTATTTTTAAATCAAATTGTTAAGGTTTAAAACACATACACTGATAGCTGACAGTATGGGTATTCAATATTTTTTGATAATGATGGTGACCAAAAAAACCTAAACTAAACCCAAACAAAACCCGTATCAAAGAAAGACTGAGCAGCTGCACAGCTGGTGGAGTGGCTCAAGTGGTAGAGCACGTGCAATGCAAGCATGAGGCCCTGAGTTCAAACCCCAGTCCTGGCAAAAACAAAACAAAACAAAAATCCAAGTACCAAGAAAAAAAAAAAACTGAATAAAATTTATATATTAAAAAAAAGAAAGAACAGAACATGATTATTAATTTATTTAGAACTCCGGTCTACATTTACTATTTTAAAAATGTGCAGAACTGAAGATAAATGCAAATACAGTGAAGTCTTTATGAACCTGTAATGATTTTAGAAAAAGAAGTTAAAAATAAGTACTCATGGCATGAGATGATTTGTGACAGAAGTGTTTATTAAAAAGACAGATATTTATAAAATGTCTTATTAATGTTGCAGTAATTAAGTTGTAACAAACAATATATGAAGAGAAATTATACACTTGAGAATAAAATCAACTATCTTTAAAAATTACATTTTAGTGTTATGACCATTCTACTTAAAAAACACAACTTGAACACTATTTTTGAAGCCTTTTCATCTATATTTCACAATAAAACAAATTATGACAGTACCTCTTGAAGCTGAATAAATTTCCCCTCCATTACCGAAAGAGCATTGCTTTTCTCCACGAGTTGTTTATGAAGCTTAATCATTTCTACATTGTCACGAATATTTGATCTTCAAAGTTTTGTTGAAAAAGGGGGACAGAGTAAAAAATGCAAGTTAAAAGGAAAAAAAAACTATGGTGGAATCACAATTTTTTTCAATTAATGTTACTTAGAAAATATCTACACACTTGCTTATTAGTCACTGAGATTTTTAGATTATTATAAACTTAAGACAGATATTTAAAAAACAATCAATAATCACTTTGAACTTGCATAATCAGACTTTTAGAGTTTGAACAGTGCCCCCAAACTTGTAGATAGATCACTTCTATCCACGGCAATTGACAGCATGGATTTAAAATCATTTTAGAGTGTCCTGAAAGATGGCATGAAACACACTGGTTTTTAGCACAGCAATGTTCCACCACTGAGCTTTGTTTATTTTAAGGAAGACTGTTATGCTACTTTTCCCTAAATGAAAAATATGCAATATAGTCATTCATCTTCCTACCATTCCCTCGAAGCAAATGGTATGATAAGATTACTATTTATTGGAGTTTCCTCTTGGAGTTTAAACTTTCAAAACATTTCCAAAAGAAGTGACTTAGCATTTTATACTAATAATGCCCAAAGCTGGCATTTAAATATGTTACAGATGTGCCTTTAGCTGTAAGAGATTATTTGATGTCCACAGGGTATATAGAAACCCTATATGCTGCAATACTATTTTGTATTTTTCCTACTGAGATTAAAGCAAATGTAGAATTTAACAGGAAGATCTTGTTAAAGGTTAATCATAGATCTAAATGAATACCTGTTTTCAAAAGGCATTAATTTTCCTGACAAAAAAGGTTCCGCAATTTAATGTATTACATTGAGACTTTTTTAAATTTTGAAGCTAGATTTTTAAGACTTTATTTTTAAGAAAAATAAACGTAAAATTTTAAATTCAAAAAATTATTTCAATGTTTAAAGTAAGTGAATTTTACTTCCAAAACTTATCTAGTATACACATATTGGAAAAATTGTCACAATGCCCTACTGGAACCAGAAAATGGACTACAAAGCTCACACATCTGTAAAACAGCTGAAGGACTTGAAATACTTAATTTTCCTCTTTGATATTTGAAAGTTCATTGTATTTTGGCATTGGACAGTTAGTTGTCCTCGCACAGAAGATAAACAAGTCCAAGAACCTGGATCTTGCCCAGGGTACAGTCTTAACACAACATTAAAATAATTATGTGTCTAAAACATATTATCTTACAGTTCTGAGCACATATTCAATAAAATGCTCATTGTTATTTCCTTCAGTATTACATTTATTCACTTCATATAAAATAGAAATATATTTTAAATAAAGTATAAAGAATCACCATTCTTGTTTTCATTCTAAGTATGAAAGAATATTTTTAAGTCAAAATACAAATTTATGTTTTTCCCAGAATTACTTGGCTTGACCACTCAACAGTGGCATTTATTGATATGAAGGACAGAAGGTGGTTCAAATAACTAAAAATCTTTTCTTATATTTTCTATTTTCTCTCTCTTTTTTTTTTTCTGCTGGGGATCCCAGGGTTTTGCACATGCTAGGTAATGTCTCTGACATTTTGATTTAAAAGTTACTATTTCCAAGAAGAATCTAATATTTTAATGTAGCTACAGCTTAACATTAGTAAATAAATCTCAATAATCTATTCAGCCACAGAGGCCATAGAGCCATAGAAATAACAGGTTTTAATTTTGAATTTTCTTTATAAGGAAGGAGAGTGAGCATATTTCAAAAACTTTCAGTGGCTTAATTTGTATATACTATGCTGAACGTTTTCCTAAAGTCTTGGGAGTTTAAACCTTTTAACAAATTGGCAAGAGAGGTGCCAATGCATTTTGTACTAATAATGCCTAATAATGCCCAATATTTACTTCATTTAACTCCAGCTATATTTAACTACAATACTATAAATACTATTTAGAGAACAGCAATAATAATGTGGTACTTTAAATAAAAAGTCAGTTTGCCAAAGTATACCTATTCTGGGACAATGCAAAACCTACCAGTCTTGAACAATTATTTTAAAGTATAAATCTGAGGGGCTTTTCATGTAGTAGTTATTACTATGCATATTTTTGAAGGATAATAATGAGAAGAAAAGGATAATTTGTTAAGCAAAAAGTGCTGGTCAGAGATATAAAGTACATAGATGTTAAAATCAATAAAGTGGTAACCATGGAATGGACTTTAAGAAGGTACACAATGAAATCACCTCAAACCTGGCAATCAACTCAACATTTACACATAGATGAAATATGGGAAAAGAACAGGGTGGAGGTGATAGATATAGAGGGAAGGAGATGTCACAAAAGCACGATGACGAGTGTGAGGAGGATGTTAGAGGCCAGAGGAAACTAGAGTCATTGCTAAGTGGCCAGTTCTAGACCTTGATGCCTATGGAGGCTGGCCTTATATTAGTCTTTTTTGAAGGAGAGATGTAAGGCCAATTTTATTAGCAATATTTAAGTGACCACCATATATTTTTCTGCCTTCTTCCACACATCGAATCTTCATTAAGATGACTTTCTAACAGAACATTGCACATTAAAAAATTTAATGAACTCTGACAGTCATACCAATTTGTACATGCTACATTACACATGGCGAAATAATTTGCAAACAGCTATCAAGCATTCTAATTAAGTGCTTTGTAAAAATAAATTTCTCAAAATTTTCAACAAGGATTCTGAAAAAAACAATTAAAATGGAAAATGCAGTTTCTTTTTCTTTTTTTGCTCTTTTTCATGATTTAAAATTATGATCAAATCTTCTAAAACTATGAGAAGAGCTGTTGGCCCATTTCTAGATTAAAAACAAACAGAAATAAATTAGATTTTATGTTGAAAAAAGTAATCCAGCACAACAACTTGTGTGCCAAGTTTCTCTCATATAATTTGAAACAGTCAAGCAATAAACTCTGAAAAAGAATTTCTAATGGAAGCCTTGAAAACTCTTGACTCCAGCTTTGCTACTGGGTGCCATAATAAATCCAGAAACTTAAAACCTCACATACACTAGACAGGAAAAAACTTTCAGTGGAGCTATGTAATGTATAATCTAATATGAAAGCTGAAGAAGCAAAAAATCTTTGCTACAGTGAAATTTTCATATATTTCATTCCTCAGGCTCCTCTCCTCTAGTCCCAGCAACATCTCATTCTATGCTACAGTAAGAAATATGAACGTGAAAAGAAGCCTCTTGAATTTTTGAGACTAACATGTTATAATACAGTATTTAACATCAATCATAACAAAAGGCTGTGTAACACTAAAGCTAGGCTATGAGATTCTGGAGAGTAGTTAGGTCAAATATTTACAAGATAAGATGGAGAAGATCTTTTTGAAAATAGTTTTAGGTTGACTAAATCTAAGAGATAAGGCTGAAAACAACCTTAGGCTTAAAAAGAAACCTTTGGATTTTTTTGAACAGTGGCAGACACTCTGTATGGCATATTGCTGAAAGACATGTAGTAGGTCACTGATAGTTCTTAATAGAGATACATAGATAAAAACCACTAGCAAGGGTGCCACTTTCTAAAAAAAGTTTTTAAAAATTATTGTTGTACTGGGGATACATTGTGACATTTACAAAAGTTCTTACAATATATCATAGAGGGTACCACTTTTGAATAGGACTACAGAAGTCTGCTAGCATTTTGAGAGGAATAAGTATCATTAATATAGCCAAGAAGAGTATAGGAGATAGGTAAGAACTGTGTTTAAAACCTCTTGAGATCATGGGTAAAAACAAGGGTCTCTGATTTAAGATTGTATGCTGTGTATGTTTACTTGCCAGTGGATCATAACTTTCCTGTGGTGTTGGGTCAAATGATATTAAATTAGAACTCAGTATTTTCTTACTGTTACCAACCACAGGAATGGAGGGGACAGCTCTCTGGGGCTCTCTACATGTATATAATCACAAGTGTATGAAAATGGGGACACTCCTTAAGACCAGTTTAGGAAAGATCCTGGCTCAACCTTCTTAATATGACCATACTTAAGATCAAATTCAGTGGATCTCAACTAGAAATATACAGTAAGAGGAATGGGAACCTGGGACTTTTAGCCAATATTTCAAAAAGTCCAATGGGAAATAAAGTTTTACTGGCAATTAAGTTGCAAAAGTTAACTAAAGGTTTTGTATTTTTTTCTGACTTTTGTTCTATTATTATAATCCAGTGCAATAACAGAGGTTATCTCACAATTATCAGAAAGAATGGTTAGTATGACATAGGTCTTTGATGAATGTAAAATGAAAAAATTAGTTAAGAACTACAAATTGTTGAGTAGGACACAAGAGCTCTAGGAAGAAAACGTCTATTGTTTACAAAGTAGAGACCCATTTACCTATTTCATTATATTCATTTTACAGGTAGCTAACTAAGGCTCAGAGAAATAAAGAATTTGGCTAGAGTTCTTAAGTGAGAGAGCTGACAAATCTAGTTTTAAGAGCTAAATTTGTCTCACTCTTTTAAGTCGCTTTGTTCTTGTAAGGTGTTCTTAACTTCCCCTTCACTGTCATGTATGCACTAATATACTAGTTACTATTAATTGTGACAATTTCAGCGGTTTATTTTACTAATATTTTGATATTGGTAAAATATGCCATGCTGCTATACAGAAAAAATGCTATTTAAGACATCTAACAGACAAACTATTTCTTACAATATTGTAATATTAATAATAAAAACAAGGATAGGAGATATGGTATTTGGGTACAATAATTGTCACTGGAGAAATTCTAAGTTATTCAAAACAACAGTGAGAAAATGGTGAATGTATTTTTAAAAATGACAGCTGATACTCCCGCGTAATAATGTTTGCATGGTTATCCCTGGCCCCAGTTATCCTTCCATCAGAGAACCAGATGTGCCCTCTAAGTTATGGGGCAGGGCAATCAGGCAAATCCAAATTGAGGGACATTCCGCAAACAACTGTCAATGGACTGGAAAAGAGTGGGGGAACATTCTAGAATAAAGGAAACTTAAAAGAAATGACTATTAAATGCAATGCATGATCTTCAATTAGATCCTAGAGCAAAACAGTTACTAAGAAAGAATAGCTATGAAAGATATTGGGACAATTAGAGAAATTTAGATATGAACTGGGTATTAGGTGCTGCTCTATCGTTCATTGTTAAATGTTCTGAACAGCTGTTATGTAGGAGGATGTTCCAGTTCCTTGAAAACACTTGTAAGTGTACAGAAGTAGCAGATGTACCTAACTCTCAAATGAGAGAGTGGGGGGATGGAGGGAAAGGAGGAAGAGAGGGAAGGGAAGGGAGAGAGGGAGAGAGACAGGAAGAGAAAAGCAGGGAATAGGAGAGAGGAGAGGAGAGGCTTGAAGGGAGGAAGGGAAGGGAGGAGGAGGAGAAGGGAGGAGGAGGGGAAGGAAGGGAGGGGAGAGAACGGGGAGAAAGGGCTTGTGCACAAGCATTCAGAATGCAGAAATAGGCTGCTGTACCATACAGATATGCTAAGGGGTGAAAACTATGTGAATGTTCACCATACTATTCTTTCCAGTATTCGGTAGGTTTGTTGTCTTTCAAAATGTTGGAGAACTTAAGAGTGTTAGGAAGTAATCCTGTCTGTGCAGAGGGGAAAGAGTGAGTCCCTAAGGCCAAGCTGTTTCTTATAATGTGAAGCTGCAAAAGGCCTCTTGGTTTTAAGATTTGACAGTCCACTATCTGCCAAAAGGAAGAGGGCAAGTCACAGTGTCTGAAATACACATGGGTTAAATTTCCTCCTTTGGGACAAAATGACACTTACATGATTTTTAATTAAGAAGGTAAACACCCTAACATTTATTTAAAAAAAACTTTAGTACAAACTAGTTACACATTTGGTAAGAGTGTAAATATTTTTGGAGTTGAAAAAGTCAATAAAAGGGAAAAATCATTCTGATTTTAATGTTTATGTACATGTGTTCACTGGTTACTGCTTTGCATTTAATTTAAGACTGCTCTTTTAATAAGCAGAAAATGTGCATTTTTATATTGTTTAAATTTTAATATGGATTTTTGTTCAAAACAACACAGACATTCAGGCTACTTGTAAATGATACAAGATTTTTCGCTAATGAGGCATTATGTAGAACATATGCAAAAATCACAACTCAGTCTTCCAAAATAGACCACAACAACAGGAAAAAACATGATTTTAATAAAAAAGAGCAGTACTGGGCTTTTACTTCAAAGCAATTAAGGGCTTTGGATAACCAAAAGTTTATGTCAAGCTGATGCCAAACCAAACTGGTCTATTAAACACATACTACGGAGAGTTTCTGTAATATTCTATGAAAGGGTTCTTTGCCATAAATATCAAGTACTGCCACTCTGAAGATTACAACTATGTTAGGTTCATGTTTGAGAACAAGGGGTCCAACATCCAGATCAGACTTCTAGAATTTCAAATCTGAAATAATGTATCTGTGAAAGAGAAGTTCAAATATGTTTTCCATTTTATGATTTTTCCCTACACTAACTTATACCAAATTTTATATTCTCTCCAACATTTTTTCAATAGTTTTCTATTAATCTCAAAATTGCTATTACACATAAAATTGAGTTACATGTTAACACATTTTAAAAAATGCCTTGAAGACCCTAATTTAAAATTATTTCTTCAGATTAAAAAACTCTATTTCAAGAAATAATATGCCATTCACTATAGATATCTTTCCTTCTAAGCAAATAACATGTAAATTTCCAGTTTTATAAAAATCAGTGAGGTAGGGAACAAACTGATTTCTTTCTTTGGCTTCTGAAATAAAAATTCTTTTGCCTATAATACTAATTTGGTTTTGGCTTCTAATTCTTGATATTACAAAAAAAAAAAAAAGATTTTTTGTTTGTTATGTGAATAATACAGCCCTAGAAGGCCTTACTTTAGTTTCTAGGGTAAACTCTTCTATGTGTGTATGTTGTTGCCTCTTGCTGGCAATATTTACAGCAGAAAAGCATTGTCCTTGTCTGTTACTCCATTTCTGCTGCTGCTCTATCCTATGATTGAAGGAATTTGGATCGCTTTTTCAGTTAACACTGAAATCTAGCTCTGAGATGATCATATCCATCTTATTGTTTGGGAACTTGAGAAATACAAAAGAGAAAGCACTCTCTAATACCTTGTGCCTAATGACTGACAGGGACAGGCCCCAAACTTGAGCGTGGTCTATATGATTTTTATATTTAGGTAATGTCTTAAGTATAGCTGATGGTAGTAACACCCTATTCAGTATTGGGTTCTGGTCCTCCAGCACTGTTCCTTATAAGGAATCATTTCTTGGTTTTTCAAGAAGTCTGAGTTCAAATCAGTTCTTCCTAAGGGACTATGGCTAACTCCTAGGTATTTAAGCTAGTTTAGAGCCAGGGTTCAAATTACATCCCCCAATTTAAATGTAATTCTCAAAAATATTCATGTTTCTTTTGCTCCGCACTTACGAGGGTATATAATGTTACTAGATATTAGAATTTCCTTACGTAATTTAGTTTTATACGTTACCTGTTTAGGTGTTATACTAATCTTTTAAATATAAAGCTTTTTATATATTTTTTAGTCCACTTTATTTTTCAAACAAGTCTGATGCATCTTTTCTTAGCTTCTTTATATATACTATGTAAGGTTAATTTGTTAAGATAGGTTTAAACTATGAATCTGAAATGAAAAGCTAGGAAATCTTACTTAGTTTTTCTAAATAAGAACCTGGCCACAATACATAGAGGAAATGAACTAGGTATAGTTTTAAAAAGATTAAGAGAGAAATGAAAGAGATACAACAACTAAATGCAATGTGTTCCAGTTCAAATGAAGGGTAGAAAGACATCTTTAGGGGACTTTAAATATGAACTGGCTATTAGATGATATCAAAGAATGGCTGTTAATTTTGTTAGGTGTGACAGTAGCATGGTGGTTTTGTTAAAAAATTCTTTACCAGAGGTACATAGTGAAGTGTTTATGAGGGGCACAACATCTAGCCAGGGCTAATTAATTAAAGACAATAAAGGTGCACGGATAGATAAAATAAGACTGATCAGGTGTTCATAATTGTTAAAGCTGAGTGATGGGTACATGAGGTTTCAGTATGCTACTCTCTGGTTTGGGGTATGCGCAGTGCCAAAAAAAGGAGGAAAAAAAGAGTAAGTCATGGCGGGGGGAGAAAAAGTCATGAAAGGAAGAAGATATTCAAGAAAAATACGGTCACTGGGAACCAGAAAATGACAAAGGATGATGTGAATGAAAATATTACACTTTATAAAATGTCAAAAATATAAAGGTGGCAAGGAAATTACTGATGGGTCTCATCACAATCCAAAACAATTAACAGATTTCAGTACAAACTTTGAGTAACAGGAGAGGAGGTGGCATCTTTTTGGGATCACAAACTGCTACCACAAATATATGCAACCATAAATTTGCTACCTTTTAAGGTTGAGAAATACCTTCCATAAGGCTTGACTTACACACACAGTATCCCAGTCCCTGAGTTCTTGTCAACCATACTTCTCTCAGTAGCTACAATCAAATGGTGTCAACTTCATGCAGTGTGGCAAGTTAATAAAGGAAACAAGACTAGATGAATTTATTCTTTTATGGCACATGATAAATTAATTTTGACTGTATCAATGTGATGTTTCTATTTTTAACATACCTTTGATCTGTAGCTTGCTGTTCACGAAGCTGAAGAAGAGATAACTCAATTTCATTTTCTTTTCTCCTTAACTGAGTTTTCAGAATCTCTGTCAAGTGCTCTAACTCTTCTATCTGGCCTCTCTGTGACTGAATAACATTTTCTCTGAAATAAAAAGCCTTTATAAGAATTTTATAGTTTGAGGAAAAATTTGTAGTATTTAAGATCAGTGCAAAGATAGTTCTTCATAATAAAGAACAAGCAAAATTTAAAATTTTTAGCTTAATTGCCTGCGAAAATAGTGAAATAGTAGCAGATTGTGACAATTTGGAAATTCCTATGGAGCAATTCAAGATATTGCTTTTTAGAAGATCAAAATGTTCAAGGTAATGGACTGGACTTTGGTTTGATTCAATTAAGTATTGACCACCTACTATATACTCTACGATTTGGACTTCAAATAATTTAAATGCCTTGTTCTTTCATATATGCAAAGCTGCCTCTATTACTGAAATTAACACTTCAGAGAGAGATGGCAGGAAATTTGCCAAACATAATTTAGAAGTCTCTGGCATGCATTTATCTCTTTCATGTCTGCAGTATTCCAGTGCAATGAGCCTCAGGAAACTGGTATGCACCCTGGGTTTTCACCTGATTATCAGATAACAAGATTACGTCTAGTCTTTGATTTTCTCACAGACTAATCATTACTATAACTGCCATTCAACATATTCAAAAGGAAACATTTTAAGCCTATATTATTCTTAAGCAACTATCTAAGGTATGATAGTATTTATGTCATGTTCTGTTTTCGCATTTAGTATTCCTTTATGATAATCCAGGTGAAGGCCTATAGATACGGTGGAACCTTATGGTTTGTATGTCTCACAGACACAGAAACCATGAGGCTTTGATTAACTGGGAAAGAAAGCTAAATATAGCAGAAGTAACTTTTTTGAAACCATGATAAAGAATGCAAGCACTGTAGAATCATGGGGAAACAAAATCTGAAATCCATATGTGTCTGATAACTTCAAACTTTTAAGCCATTTCTTTCTTTCTTACTCTTTCTCCCTCTAAGCCACAAAAATGGCTAATTGATTCAGGAACCCTCCCTCCCCCCAAAAAATTATCTGTTATTTTCTGGGAATGAAAATGTTGCCCCTAAAGCTTATATGATTAGACTATATGCCATCCCTTTGGTGGCAAAATTATAGTAAAATGACTATTCTATAAATTCTTCTATTGATGCAAGTTGGTTAAGTTGTTCATTTCCCTTATTTTACTGAAAACATGTCATATAATACCTGCTATTACTTCACAGAACTAGCTGTATTTTAGTGAAGCATATTATTTATACATAACCCAATTTTGTTTACAATAAAGGAAAGGGAGGGATGAAAACAAGACACAATCAATAAACAAAGTTCTAAAATGACCATGAAAAAGAATACATACAAATTTCTTATTTCTCCTCTGGCTTCTTCAAGTAAACTATTGTCATATTTTGTAAGCATGGGTTGTACAGTTTCGGCTATATCTACATCTTGGAATCTTATACCTGAAAATAAAGTAATAAAATATGACTACAGAAGTTGTTAGAAGAGAAAGAAACTCGATTGCTATCACAAGCATATTTATAATATAATAAAATCTCTTATTAAGTACTAAGACATATGTGTTCCATAACAGAGAATTAGAAATACACTGCCAGAGTGAATATTAGATTTCAGCCACCAGCATGCATTAAATAAAATGCAGCAACAAGTACTGCCCAGTTAACAGTTCTACTATGGGAACCAAATTACCTAGAAATAATTTGATTCAATTTAAGACTTAGAACTACTGCAGTAATTTCTGCAAGAAACATAGTTTTCAATTCAGGTCTGCAGAATATAAATTGAAGTATGAAGGAAAAAGTTTTCAAAAAGTTGACTATTTTTAGTGCTTCTATAATTTTTTCATTCTTTAAAATTTTTTTATGAGCATAATTTAACTGAACAAAGGAGTGTCATTGTTATATTTACATACACGTATACAATGTACTTTGATCAAATTCACCTGATATATACTACTTTCTTGACTCCCCTCCCTTCTTAACAGTTTTAAGTGTTTCATTATGTTTTTTTAACACATAAATATAATGTGTGTTACATATATATAATGTAATATTCACCCCATCATCCTCTCCTTCCCCCAATGTTATTTTATTTTTAAGTTAATCATTCATATCCTCTACCTTACATGTTTAATTCAAAATGTTATATTTCCTGTACTTAGTTTTATTATTCCACCTCACCAAGAAAATCCATATTTAAACAAAGGTGATTTGAGGTAATTGGTCAACAGAATTCCTTTAAATAAAACATTTCCCTGCTGCACATAAATACCATTTTTCTTGTAAGAATAGTTATATGCCCCGGGTGTGGTTCATGCCTGTAGTCCCAGTACTTAGGAGGCTGAGACAGAAGGATTATTTGAGCTCAGGAGTTCAAGGATAGCACAGGCAACATAGTGAGACCCTATCTCTTAAAAGAAAAAAGTCATGCAATTTTATGGAAAGTCCCATTGTTAAAAATGAGACAGACTTAATTATGTGAACTATTTTACATCTGCAAAATAATTAAATTATTAGTTTAAGTAAAGAATGACATATCATGTAGACTTTTGAATGCAAAATCATCCTAGACATAAACATACAGAACAGATTCTGCTAAAAAGCTTAAAGTGAGAATCCTATTTTATCATTTTATTTCTTTGTCAGTTAAAATTTTATTTACCACATACATGTTTTGAAATATATATACATTGTAAAAATGAGAATTTTAACTAGAATAATTGAACTATTTCTTGCTCTTTCCATTATGTTCAGTATCTATTGCTATAATTTAGACTAAAGCAATGTTTAGGCAATGCCTAAAACACTTAAATAGTTTACTGTGCTAGAACTTGCTAGTTTTATTACTTGGGAAGTAATGCTAATTTTTAAGCTTTTCCTGTATCAGTCATGGGAAAATTGAACTTTAGAAGTAAAACTGAAAAAATACTCAAAACATATCTTAAAATTTAGTTTCATGGAGAGTTGTCAATAGCTATGTATTTATTTATTTTTTGAGATAAGGTCTCCCTGTGTAGCCCAAGTTGGCCTCAAACTCATGATCCTTCTGCCTCAACTTCTGTGCAAAAATCTTTGTTACACTGGTTCTTCATAAAAAGAATGTCTACATAACACATATCAAGAGTAAGCCAGTGCTTTCCATCCCAATGCACAGATTAGAGAACAGTATTCATACAACAGTTTGTGGGTAAAGGCTTTCTGTGGCCAGAGAAGGTGTGGTGTTCTCATCCAGCCCAAAAAGCCAAGATATTCCCTGATAAGTATGGCCTAAGTTCCACCCTCAAAGGCAGTCCTGAAGAGTCTACTAAGGCTGCTAACATATCAATTTCGGTAATAATGCCTCAGGTTTATTCAAAGTGATTAAGAATATACTCGCAACTAATTAAGGATTTGTGCAGCTTCCATGTCTTGGGTTCTATGAACAGTGATGAAATTCTGAATCAAATGTACATAAGGAGAAATTTAAGCTTTGTAGTCACGTTTTCAAAGACTCTGCTGCTCTGTGGCTACTTATTATTTATTCACTCATTTACTTATTTTACTCTAGGGAAACTTCTACTAATCTAATTTACTTAAATAGCAATTTAAACACTAGATTAGCTTGTCATTTTACTCTAAAATTTGGGTATTATTTTTTAATATGAAAGATCTTGCGCACCTTAGACATCATACTGCCCATTTACATTCCTGGATGGCAAAACTAAGATGCAGAGAGAAGTGAGTTTTTAGTTAAAATATATTAGCTATACTCCCCTGACCCTTTACCTGATCTGGTATTATTATCACCCCATTTTATAGATGGGGAAAATGAGACTGAGAGGTCAAGTGCTTGCCTCCATCAAAGAAGTTAATTGCACAATGTATTTTCTGATTTATAATTCATTATGCTTACTTCGATTATATTCAAAGTCTACTGCAATCTCACATAGCTAGGAGCAGCCAACTTCTTTTATCCTGCAGCTGCCTCCTGCCTGTGCAGAGGCTTTACTGACTTCAAAGGAACTCTATCTAAGGAAGAGATAGTGTTAACATTTTGATTTGGAGAGAAAACTACAACAAATTTTTCTCCTTTTCTGTTCATATGATGTTGTTTTCTTCCTCAATGAATTGAAACTAAAGTTTTACATGATTTTTTTATACTTCTGAAAGTCTTTGATCTTTACATGAAGCATATTCCAAACAAAAACTGATCAGAGCTAACATTTTATTTCCTTCTCTATTAGACGAAATTTTAAGAAGTTACTTACAATATTTATTTACTTTTAGCTCCATTATAGCAAGGTTGAGTGTAGAGAGAATTTAGGTGTGGTACTGAATCCTGTCTATAGAATTGTTTTATATCATGGATAGGTTTTATGCTATTCATTTTCAAAATGAAGAAAGTGACTGTCCTACGGTTATTTTTAAAGATGGAAGAGACCCTTATGGTCACTTACCTCAATTCTTTTTTTTTTTTTTCAATTCTCTTTATTTTATATGTAAAGAAAACTCAAATTGAGAATAATTAGGAGACTGTCCAAACTTACCATTAACTCAAACTCAACTCAACTCAAATTTCACTTAGTTTCATTCATATCTCTTAGTTGTATCAGTTACTAAACAAATTTGACAGTGACCTAGTGATTCTTAAAATATATGTACATATATATATATATATATATATACACTTTTTTTTTTTTCTTCTGTACTGGGGATTGAACCCAGGATCACCTGCATGCTAGAAGAGTGCTGTCCCACTTAAGTCATACCCCTAACTCCTTTTGTTTGTATTTTGTTTTTGAGCTATGGTATCACTGACTTTGCCTGGGCTGGCCTCCAACTCAAGGTCCTGCTGCCTTGACTTTCTAAGTAGCTGAGATTACAGATGTGTACCATTCTACCTGACTAATAACATGAACTTTATGATAAATACTATGATTTTATTAAAAGCAAGCCAAAAACCTACTTTTAAATTCGTTTTGAAGACACTTAAAAACATGAATAATACGGAAATAAAACTTTGTGTGCCTGTGTAAAACAATCTATCATTAATAGACTTAAGTTTATGATTTGATGTAAGCCTTGTTTTACCTTTCCTGGGACATTCCTGTAAGCCTGCATTTTCATTTGCTTTTCTACGGCCAGTGTTAATACGACACTGCACATAGTTGTACGGAGTTTGCCTGTAACCTTGGATTTGAAGTTGCTGTTTGGCTGAAATTAGTCTGTTTTTGAGGACTTCATTTTGTCTTTCAAGATCATGAACTTTCTCTTGAAGCTGCTCAATCATTTCTTCCATTTCCACATCTCGTCCCAGCCGCTTGGGGCCGCCACCAACCTGCTCGTATCTTTTCTTGTCATTAACTAGCCGTATTAACTTGGTGGCCATTCTAGGGAAATAATAAAAAGATGAAAAGGAATGTGAGAAGTCAGCATAAAATGCATTCTGTTGAAAGGAACATAATCACTGTGAAGACTTCAGTGCAGAACCTGAATAATAAATTTCAGGTTTTGATGTAACTATTACTGCCTGTGAAGAATCCTTTGATGATAATTGAAACCACTGGGCAACAATCTGCTTTATAGCACTGACAAATAACAGTTTCCTAAGGCTTATCATTTAAGGTTAGTAAAGAGAGGACACATATTTACTCCATATGTTCCTGAAATGCAATTTTTAACGCATGACCTTATATAGGAATTCTGTATGCACTTAAATGTAGTTACAGATTGTGGATGTGGTGGGTTACAGCTGCAATCCACAGTAAGTTAAAACTTTTGAAAGTGTGTTAAGAGTTGCAACATTCAGGTAATATACTCTTTTCAGTTTCTGTAGGACTAAGAAGTATTAAAACATAAATTTGTTAGAATTCATAGATGCACACATGTAAAGCTCAATGAAAATTTCAAAAGAAACCAAAATATGCCATTAAATGTTGCTTCATGCTCAAGAAATGTTTAATAGGAAATAATTAGATGTAAGAGTATCATTTTAATGCTACTTTTAAATTTAGACATAAATTGTTCTTTTCACATCTCAAGAGTTCATATCTTTGATTCTTTTAAGTTTTGATAAAAACTGGTTAGACAGAACAAAAGACAGAAAGGGCACATGGGGGTGATGTAATATACACGTACGGAAAACATGCCTGACAGTGAATGGAAAAATCTTGGCAGAACAAGAAAGAAAAGGTGGCTTTGATGAGACACAAGTTCAAGACTTTACAAAATCGGTCGCACATCTTCAATGGCTGATCCTAGTTTATAGTGAATCTATTTTTATAAAGACCCAGACAGAAGATTGAAAATAAAAACACACTTCATATTTCTTTAAATGGCGTTTGCTTTATTTTAGCATGGTTATGGACAGAAGCTTTTACTTAAGAGAACAAAAGTGAAATAAAAAAATCCTTAATAGCTTTGGGATGTCACAGAACAACCCCCCCAACCCTTTTTTTTTTTTTTTCCCCTAAGCAGAGTCCTCTGTAAATGCGGTAGTAATACATGTCTATCTACACTTCTGGCTACTCTGCCTACAGCATGTGGCATCAGGGAGAACTATGCATAACATAATCAGTTAAGATTGTTTTCTCTTTCCCTTGAGGCACATCCATTAAGCATGCTTTATAAGGGATATAGGATAATAAAAACCAAGATCCAAGAGTACCACAAACATTCTAGTAAAATAATCAATGGATTAGTTCCTCTTCTGCCTAATCCTGAGAATGATATATTATTGGGAAATGTGGCCAGGTATCATAGCCCAACAAAGTGTCACTCTGCCTTGCCCTTTAATGAGGTTAGGGTCCTGAGCCCCACCCATTGTCCTATTCATAAAAACAAGGTAGTTGTCCAAATGAGATGTCAATTTAAATATCTGACTCTCCTGTTATAGAAAGACTCTGACACAGAAATACAGATTACATTCGAAAGCAGTGTGCAGATTTAAAATGAAAAAGCAGTTACTATCTGAAGAAAGATCAATGAACCTAATTTTAAAGCAAGAGAAGCACATCAGTAGTGTCAGTCTTCACATGATGTTTAAGTAAACTCTGTCAAGAAATACAAGATTGTATTTGTCCAGTAATGGAAATTCTTTCCATTTGTTTGATTGATTTATGATATTAATCATCCATAGGTAATTTCGTAAAGTTTGAGTACTTATTTAAAAAGAGAATTTAGAAAATCTACACTTACACAAAAAGGAGTGCTACTACTTACATGTTAAGGATACTTGTAAAGACAGTTTTGCCTATGTGTCTGGGTCACTGCCAGTGGTGTAAGATTGAGAAGGAATTTAGAGCTTTGGGTCAAAAGTGTTCATTAGGTCGGTACACCATGGCTTAGAAAAATAAAATACCAGGAGGTTAAACATATCATAGGCTAGTGGTAGAGAGCTAAAAGAATACATATCTACAATATGACTCCTAGCCCGTACTTTTCCCATGAAACTACAAGGCTCATTATTAAGTTGTTTTTTTTATTTTTTGGCTAGGACAAATTACTAATGAGATCAAGGTTGTGGATTAAATTATTTTACTGATTAGGCTTACAAAGAAAAAATTGTTTAGGGGTCACAGACAATGCCACATTCTGCCTGTCTCACATGTGTGTGCTATTGGTTAGAAAGGGAATCCAGCAAGTCTTGAAAACAGCCATCATGATGACTCCAAAACCAACTTAAAGTAAAAGGTTTGCACTCAGCAGGTCGTGGGTTGGAAAAATCAAGTCCACAGAGTAGACAGTGAACTGGAATCACTTCTTTAGGATGAATTCTAAGTAGAAAAAAATCCTATCTTCTTTCTTCAATGGCTGTCTTACCTTTTCTTTGAAACTAGAACATGAATATAGACTAGCTCATGTTTACAAACGTGAATACATGTTGTTTCTAATGCCAGACCGTCAGAAGACAGAGTATTTTTAAATAAAGAATAAGAATTAAAGAATAACTACTCATAAGACATCATTCCTAATTTTTCTGCACAGAAATTAAAAATGATGTTTTTGCAGAAACAGTAGAAACCCTTTGAAATGAACACAGACTTGAGACTAACCCAAGCAAAGTTAAATATGTTCCAGAGACTGAAATGATGTTTTCATTAGAAAATCCAAAATCTTAAGGGAACAGGCATTCTAACAAGTTGGAATAATTACTTTTTAAAAACTTTCATTTTAAAATCATGACATGAAGGGAGTCCATGGAGACTTCAGGGTCTCATGAAAAAAAAAAAACAGATGCTTTGGCTATTTGCTTATTAAACTATAAACATTAAATCAAAAGTTATTTATAGATATGATACCCTCATGGCACTCTTAGCTATTAGCTCTTTTCTTTCAAATAGCAACTTCAGACATAATAAATATGATCTTTTTGGTTTATTATTCTACTTTGTAAGATTTTCCATTTTTAAAAATTCTATTTATTTATAACCTGACTGTTTCAGAAAAGATTGAAGGTGGGGTTTTCAATTAAGTTTATAAAAAAGCATATCCTCCAAACTTTACAGAGTCAAGAAAAAAAAGCTAAAAGCTTTTTATCATAACCTTTTAATTTTATCCTCTTGCTTGCGGGCATGCTGTTTAAGTAAAATGTTCTCATCATGCAAACGTAAAAATCTGTCTTCCAGTTCCTCTCGACTGACACGTGACACTGCCTGCCGAGACTTCATTGTTCGTGTTGTTGAAGTATCTGCAAAAATGTCAAAGTAATTAATTATAGGATTACTAAAAATAGTCTCTAAGAGTGATAACTATTGCTCTTAAAATAATCTCGACGCACTCAGATTTTCCTTTGTGGCCTACAATTAAGATTTCTTTAGAAAATGTTATAGCATTGTTCACACCTATGATTTAAGGTAAGAATTAACGTCTTTGTGATTTATACTTTATGTACAATATTAGGGATTTGAGTAACAATAGTATTCATGAAGAGGTATTTGGATAATCATATTTTCAGGATATAAGATGAAACACTGATTCAACAGACTATTCAACTTATATTCTGAATGTTGTAAAAACTAAAAGTCAGAAAAGTCAGATTACCTGGGCTGGGGAGGTAGCCCAGTGGTAGAGCACTTGCCAAGCATGAGCAAGGCCCTGGGTTTGAAGAAAAATAAATCATAGCATAGTATCTGAAAGTATTTATTTATTTATTTATTTATTCAAAGACAAGAGCTAGAAGAATTTGGTGAACATGGTCTGATTAAGATATTCTTCTGAGCTATGGGTGTCAGGTTAAACAAAATAAATTATAAAATTTATAAGGCCACTTAGGAATCCAGGTATGTAAAAAAATTTGTAAAACCAACCAAACAAACAAAAATCCCTAAAGTTAAAAAATTATTGTCATTTGAAAGCTTCACAAGTCATTTCCCTATGTTAATTTTATATTTTACGATAACTTTTATACCTTTTGGAAATGTAAATATATCTTTTTAAAAGATGCTTAGATTGTGTACTTTTTATATCATTGTGAAGTATGTCAATTTTCAATATCCTCCAATAGACACCAAGAACAAACTCTGAGATTAAAGTACTATGGCTTCTTACTGAAGAAGAATTGCACTTATACAGCATCAAAACATAATAAATAGCTCTGCACACTTAAAATTATTTGTATCTAAATACCTGACACTCACTCAAACATCTAAAATAAAGCTTATACATTTTTACTTTTAATAATAGGGTATGTATAGTAAAATTTATCTTTTTCAATGAACGATACATCAACCGCCTTTCTGAGGAAATGTGGCCATTTATACCGTTCTGATTAAAAGGTGTGTGGAGAATCCTTAGTGGAATGTATTTTAAATCTCCAATCTTCTCAACAGCAAATTTAGTGGCATAAGGGTATGAATGGCACATTGTAGACTCAAATGTAAACACGGGTCCATGCTCTGCATTGTTCTGCGAAGCAGTTTTTTTTTTTTTTTTTTTTGTCAGTTTGAAAGTGCTCTTTAGCTCTACAGTAACGACTAAATGATAAAAGGATAAAGAAAACCTTTAATGTATATTAATTTGATTGGAAAGTCACTATCACTAGCATAAACAGGCCATTTTGGGATACTCTACTTGAAAGGCAAAAAATTTAAAATATAGCATTTCCTCCCATATAAAATTTAAACATAAAGAAATGTTTTAATGGTGAATGTGATTTAAACCAGGCAATTCAATTTGGAGGCTTGATACTCTATGTAGTTTCTACTGATGTGTGGAATTTTAAAAAGATGATTTATAACAATTCTTTATCAGAACAGAGGGGGATCTTGCATTTGCTATGAGCTGCTGATAATTGATGCATGCAGTAAAATACCATATGTGTTTTAAACTCTCCATCTTGTTTAGTCCAATCAAGAGCTATATAGTTACTTAAATGGTTTGGTTTGTATGAATATCAGAAATACTTTAAATTAAAAGTAAAGAAATCACTGATCAAAGTTCATAACTGTAATAAATAACAGGTGGTTATACCTTGTAACCCTCCTACTCCAAAGAGATTTAGACCTATATCTTTCACAGGCAGGTCTCCTGCAGTCTCATCAGTGGGACCAGACATGGCCTATCTGTGGAGAGAAGAAAATCCAAGCAAACTCTTTCCAAGTTATTACATTAACCATGCCATGGAATGAACCAAATAAAGTGAATAAGGGGCTAGAGCTTTAATGGACATCTTATTGCCCACATGTGCTGCTTGGAGAAGATGAAAGCTCCTATTCTAAAAGTAATACTGCATTCAATCATGGAGACTGTTTCTTTCAACAGTGTATATCCTATAGTTTGCTTAGGAAATGAGGTAAGATTAGCATTCTTCCCTTTCTTTTCTTATTCCTCTATCTGAAATAAAACCAAACTTCCAAACTTAAGAAATATCTCTTCTCTATTCCCACTTCTCTTCACAAAGAAAGCATGCATCCTGAAAAACGCTTAAGTCAGGAACTTGATTCAATTGGTTATTCTATCATTAATAGCTGGCCAAGTCATGTAACCTCTTTGAGTTTCAGTTCCTTCGTTCTAAAAATGGAGCAAATACCTATCTCACAGAGTTATTCTTTAAGTGAGATGACAAATCAAAGGCACTTAATAAATATGCCTAGGATGACACAGTACCAGAATATTAATTTTCTGCTTGATGAACAATGAACAGGTAATTTCAAGTTTTGTGAAAGAGGTTTAATAAATCTGAGGCAGGCTAAAGTAGGACAAATTTGGGACTCACAGAAGAAAATACTGCATCTTAGATTAACCATGCTTTGGCTCAGGAACCATTCTCACCTGGCTGGGACCACACCCATGCCCCTCCCCATTCGTTCATTATTGGGTGGGAATCTCAACCACCTTCACCTGGTCTGGAACTGCCCATGCCCCTTCCCACTCATTGATTATTGAATGAGAATCACCTGGCTGCCCCTTTCCACACGTTATCATAAGTTTTAAAAGCACCTGAAAGGTAGAAACACACTCTCTCAGCTTCCCCCTGAGAAATACCTTTGTATTTCTCTTCCTTAATTTTTAATAAACTCTCTTTACACCCACATGTCCTGCCATGAATTCTTTCTGGTGTGATAAGAAGAATTTGGAATTCTTTTGATCACAGACTGCACCAGTGCCGTTAACAAATTGACTGTTTTTGTTGTGCCCTGGTACAGCTCCCAGCGATTAGCTACCTGAACATACAAGGCCACCCAGCTAATTCTAGTATTTTAACAGGCTCTATTCTTTACAGAGAAGTACCACAGTTCAGAAAATGTCCAGTATGCAAAAAAAATTTTATATTTCCATGTCACTCTACCTAGAAAGTTAAATGCAAACAGGTAATAAAGATACCCTAAGGCAGAGGTTCTCAAGTTCTAGAATTTTAGTTCTAGAATGTGAAGACCAAGAAAAGTAGCAAGCATATTCATCTTGTTTACTGAGGCTGGCACCGAGTTTGTTGCATTCGGTAAATAATTGAAGATGAAGGGAACAGGAGGGAGTGGGTCTGGAAACCCAAAGGAGACTTGCAAAATTTTGTATGTACATGGAATATCTTTTAAAGAGAAGGTTTATAACTTTCATTATAACTCATAAAAGGGCAGGGTGCTGGTAGCTCACTCCTGTAATCCCAGCTAATCCAGAGGCAGAGATCAGGAGGACTGCAGTTCAAAGCCAGCTGGGGCCCCTATCTCCAAAAAATCCATCACAAAAAAAGGGCTGGCAGAGTGGTTCAAGTGGTAAGAAAGCCTGCCTAGCAAGTGTGAGGCCCTGAGTTCTAAACCCCAATGCCAAAAAAAAACCCCCCAAAAAACAACTCATGAAAAGGTGGCTCACGCCTGTAATCCTAGCTACTCAGGAGGCAGAAATCAGCAGGATTGTGGTTCAAAGCCAGTCCAGGCAAATAGTTTGCAAGACCCTATCTCAAAAAAAAAAAAAAAAAAATCACAAAAAAGGGCTGGTGGAGTGGCTCAAGGTGTAGGCCCTGAGTTCAAACCCCAGTACTGCCAAAATTTTTCTGTGACAGAAACATCTAGCACACAAATACCTGGGAGATCAACTACTTCTTTAGGTCCATTTTAACATGTAAATTATCAAGAAGTTTAAACAGAGGCTCTCTGTGAAAATTACTTTTCCATGAGAAAGTTAAGGTGGATTTTATAATAGTGATAATGTGTAAAGATGGTGGTGGTAACATTCATTGAATGCTTACTACACTTAAAACAGGTACAGTTTTAAGTGCTATGCTTAATTAAAAAGGGGTAAGATTTATACAATTGAAGAGAAACCAGAGTATGCTCTACTTCATTCACTGAAGTAGATTCAAAATCTCCCAATATCCTGTTTGTGACTCAAATGATTCCTGCTGCACAAATGAGGAAGCTGAGGCACAGATTATCCAAGGTCACCCATGGAGGAAACATATCTGGTGATGGTTTTGGTTCTCATAACTGAAAAGGAGATGTGCTACTGGCATCTGGTGGGTAGATGCCAAGGATGAGACTAAACATTCTATAGTGCATATGATCCTAGACAATGAATTGTCTGGCCCAAAATAGTAAATAGTGCAGAGTTTGAGAAACCGTGCACAATGCTGCTGTGCCTCTATAGCTCTCCCTCCTTGCTCACTAGGCTCCACTTCCAGTGTTTCCCACTTTCCTCAAGCCTGTCATATCTTATCTTCTGCCAGCTTTTGCATTAGCTGGCTCCTCATTCTTTGGAGCTCAGTCCAATTGTCACTTCCTTATATAGACTTCCCCTGTTACTCTTTTTCCCAATTTCCCCATGGCTTACGTCTTCACAGCAATAGCGTATAAATACCTTGAGATGGGTATTGGTCTTGTTCACAGTTGAGTGGAACAGTGTCTGCCACACGGTGAATGAATGAATGAATATACGAATACCAAGCACTGAGACTAAAATAGTACAAAGACTGCCTTTATAGCATTATCAGGTTATAGCAGTAGTCAGACGATAAATTAATAAAGTTAAGAATAGGCCACTCGGGAGGCCTACTGGTTTAAAAACCAATTCTGAATTCAGGGCAACGGAGTGAACGGTGTTTGTGACCTTTTACTTGAAGCTTTTGGAGAGGAACGGGGACTCTCATCAGTTAGGATTTACGGGTGGGATATAAAACTTCAAATAAGTCCTGGGCGTGGGGATAAAGGGCGGGATGTGAAGCAGGCCTGAGAAAGTGGAGGCGTCCCGGGGCCGACCTGCCTTTCTCGCTAGAACTCCAAGGCCTTCTCTAGACCACAGAGAGGAAAAACACCCCAGGCTCCTGGCCCGTGCAGCAGAGCGAGGGTCCGCCAGCCTCCATCCACCCAGTTCCTCTCCCACAGTACTCACCGCCACTCTCGTCCGGCCGCTAGCTACCGTTGCTATAGCGCCGACGGCGTTCGGCGCGTCTGGCCCAGAGGAGCACGGGAAAAACATGGCAGGCTCTGTTGCCCCCTGGGAAATGAAGTTCTCCTTGCCCCTCGCCTCGCGCCCCGACCCCGGCCGCCGCCGTCAACACCTTCAGGCTGGTTGCGAAGCAAACTACGCTCTACCCCAGCTGTTGGATCTGGGAAATTCGGCTCTTAAGCTCGACGCGCGCTCGGCCGTCGCGCCGCAGTGCTTCCTGGGAGTGGTAGTTTTTGAGGCACTGAGGGAGAATGTTGCCGGGCGGGAGCACGACGTTGAGAGAACTACACTGGGGAGGCGGGTCCAAGGCAAGGGATTTACGTGGTTCGCGGAGGCGAAGGCGGCTTCGGTGGCAGCATGAAGCGCACCCAGACCGCGGAGGAACGAGAGCGGGAAGCTAAGGTATGTCGGCCTTCCTGCGGCCTGGATTCTTCCCGCGCGGGTTTACTAGAGGCAGAGAACCCAAAGGGCTTGCTTTGATGGGAAGCGGATGCACCGGGTTAAGCCAAGGGATGACAGGGCCTGGTCTGCAAGGGACTTGTAGAAATGGGGGTGTGTGTGCTGAAAATTCGTGTTGCTCAGCGTGCCGGCTGCGTCCTTTTGGATCAGCTGGGATCGAAAAACCAAGACACGCATGTCGCTGTCCTGCTTTTGCACAGATTTCTTGGCCAACCTTGTAGCCAACCTTTGCCTCAGTTTACCGGACTCCCAGATGGCTGTGATCACCCCAGCTGTGCTTTCTCTTTCTGTAACGGTCTCTGAGGATTGAGTTGCTTAGATGAAATATCTGTGCGGTCACATGTGTTTATTTGGCATAGTTGTCTCAGTGGGTAGCTGACATACTCTGTGTCTTCTGTAAATACGAGTCTTTGACTGCATTCCTATTCTCTGCCTTTGCTACTCAACTTCTGGTGGTTGCCATTCCATGGGATGTCAATAATAGTAGTATTGACCATTTGTTATTTATTGCTTACCAACATTTATTACGTGTCAGGTACCTGCCTTAGGTGCATAATATAGCATTTCATTTATTATCATAGCAGGTTGCAAGGTAGGTATACAGATGTGTTTCACAGATGAAGAGTTGAGGTTCAGAAGAATTGAATCTCATTCCCAACGTTGGGGCTTATGGATTTGTCTGAATATAGAATCTTCCCACCTTTTTTTTTTTCATCTCCACTACCTTGGACCAAGCTACTATTAGTTCTTCAGTGGACTGTTGCTGCAGCCTCCTTACTGGACTGCATTCACTGCTTCCTACCTCAACTCCTCTGTATTCTTCTTCTTTCTCCAGCAACCTGTCTCTTCTTCACACTGGAGAAAGTTATTTGTTTAGAAATTCAAATCTAATAATGTCCCTTTCCTCCCTACTTGGCCAACCACCTGTTTAAAACTGTCAACACTTTCTGATGCTCTTAGATAAAAACAAAACTTCACATAGCCTGAAAGATCCTTCATGGTCTGGATCCTGTCAGCATCCTCAACCTCACTGGACACTGCTCTCTGCATTGCAGTCACCACAAGGACCTTTATACATGCTATTTGGTATCTACTCTATGTTAGATATTTGTTGGCAATGAGGATCACTGGTCAATAAAAGAGTATAGTTCTTGCTGTCACAGACTTCAGTCTTACAAATGAATCTATTTTAGGGCAGTACACCTAAGGATTTAAAATCAAATCTGAACTAGATGTGGTGGTATGTGCATAGAATCCCAGCACATGTAAGGCTAAGGTAGGAGGATTTCGAGTTTGAGGCCAGCCTGGGCACCTAATGAGACTCTTGTCTCAACCCCCTTGTCTCAACCAATTTCAAGTTGGTTGTCTCAAACCAATTTCTTTTGACCTTTATTTAAAATTAGTTTACTTATGAAATACCGGCTAGAACAAATGCTAGGTAGTTGTCTTAAGTCTTAAATAGAAATACTCAATTGTGATGAATTACTGTCTTTTTCTAGTCAACTTTGTTGAGGTATAATTTACATGCAGTAATTTGCAGTCATTTCTAGTGTACAGTTTGGCGAGTTTTGACAGCTGTATATACCTGCAAAACTATACCACCGTTGTCATGGAGAACATTTCTGTCCTTTCTAAAAGTTTCCTCTTGCTCATTTGCTGCCAGTCTCTCTATCTTGGCCGCTAGGTAACCACTGAGGCATTTTCTGTCAGTATAGATGAATCTGTATATTCTAGAATTTCATGTAAGTGGAAGCATAGAATTTTTTTTCTCATTCAGCATAATTTTTTAAAGCTCCATATGTTATTGCATTTATCAGTAATTTGTTACTTTTTTCTTGCTGAGTAATAGTCTACTCTGTGAATCTATCACATATGGTTTTTTAATCCACCTGTTGCTGGACATTTATTTGGGTTGTTTCTGGTTTGGAGCTGTTGCAAAGCAACATGTACATTCTGTTTTCATTTCTATGGGGCAATGTGCTCATTTGCAATTATTTCCCATTTCCACCCTCATCCCTTGGCAACCACTAATCTCTTTGTTCTCTTGATTTACTTTGTGTGGACATTTTGTACAACTGAGATTATACAATATGTGGTCTTTGTGTTTGACTTCTATCATCCAGCCTAATGTGACTGGGGCTCGCCCGTGTTGTAGTGTGTGTCAGTACTTTGCTCCTTTTTTTTCTCTAGTAGATAGTTCTCAAATACCTGTATGCAGGTTTTATCTATTCACCAGGTGATGGACATTTGAGTTCTTTCTACTTTTTGGCTATTGTAAAAAATGCTACTGTGAGCAGTTGCATCTTAGTTTATGTATTGACATATAGTTTCATTCTTCTTGGGTATATACCTAGGAGTAGAATTGCTAGTCATAAGGTAAATCTATGGTTAACATTTTAAGAGACTACCAAACTGTTTTCCAGTGGGGGTGATCTCTTTTATGTTCCCTCCAGCAGTTTTGAGAGTTACAGTTTCAACTTTGTCCACACTTGTTATTATCTGTCTTTTTGATTGTAGCCAATAGAGTGAGTGTGAGGTGGCTGCCCTATTTTCTGTTCCTACCAGCAATTTTGTGAGTTACAATTTCAAGTCCTTGTTGACACTTGTTATTGTCTGTCTTTTTGATTGTTGCCATATAGTGAGGGTGAAGTGATGTCTCACTGTGGTTTTGATTTGCATTTCCCTGATGACTAATGCTGAGAATCTCTTCATATGACTAATGGGCACAAGTATATCTTCTTTTGTGAAGTATACAAAGTCTTTGCCCCATTTTTTTTTTTTTTTTGGTTGGGTTGTTGAATTTTTAAGCTTTGTGAGTTCTATATATTTTCCCCTACCCATGTTGCAAACATTATCTCCTATTCTTTTAGTTTATGTACGGTCAAGGTCCAGGTAATAAATATTTCTTTTTATGATTCATGCTTTTTGTGTCACATCTATCTCAAAGTTGCAAAGATTTCTTGTTTTTTTAGATTAAACTTCGACATCCCTATAATACGTAATTTTTCCTTTTTTCTTTGGAGTAACTTAGATTATATTTTCTTTTTATTTTGTTTTTTTGAGAGAAAGTCTTGCTATGTAGCCCAGGCTGGCCTGAACTCACGATCCTCCTGCCTCAACTTCTCAAGTGCTGGGATTACGGCTGTGTACCACCATACCTAGCCAGATTAGTATTTGATGGCCTGAGTTAGAACCACGGTTGTACTATTTTCCTTGCTTTTGGGTTGTGGAGTGTATTCCCTATGCCTCAGTTTCTCAGAATGGCTCCTTCTGCAGGTAACTATGTGGCCCCAGTGTGATTAAGGTTATCCACTAAGCCAGGGTTGGAGTAGATGTGGCCTACATGGGTAAAGATGGTGGATGAAGTCCCATGGAACTGGCTGGCTGTCCATGAAAGATAATCATGGGAGTAGGATATGGTACCTAATACAGTCTAGGGTGCAGAGTCATGGACTTTCTTCCTTAGAAAGGCTATTTCACTGGACGTGGGGGGGTGGGTGGTGAGTTCATAGATTATCTTGCTAAGGAAGATCTATTTAAGGTGTATCCTTGTGAGAGGCCTGGAACCTCTTCAGAGACTTTTTAGAAATAATAAAGTAGTTTCATTAGTCACAAAATAAGAAGGTATGGGTGTTGAATTCCAAGTTAGCTTCAAAGATTCTTAGGCTAGCTTAGGTTAAATCATCCTCTTTAAAAATATTGAAGTAGAAATAGTTTGTTACTGAAATGGTTTTACACTTAATGACGTTGAATAATTTTAAGTAATGTACATTTTTATCAGTGAGGGAAAATATCCAGAATAAACTAGTTGTTTTCCATGAAATCATTAAAATCATCTCCTTTTGGTAGCTGTCTTAATGTCAATTAACAAAATAAACCTTAAATTATAAGATTTATTGAGTTATAAAAGTAACAGCTCAATAAAAGAAAGTTTGTTATTTATATATGTGTCCTCTGGGTCTTTTTCACCATATTGTATATTTTCTGATTTGGCTTTTTTTTTTCACCCCCCCTGCAGTTCTGGGGTTTGAACTCAGCCTTGTGCTTACTAGGCAAACCCTCTACCACTTGGCCCATTCCCCAGCCCTTTTTGATTTAGTTAATTTTCAGATAGGATTATAGATATGCACACAAATTTATTTAATCATAGTTTACTCTGACATGGGAAGTTCAGGATGAAGATCCAAAGTCCCAGGGAAAACTATCAGTATTTATACCAAGGGTGGATGAAGAATGGACAGTTATATAGAAATGTGATTGGATTTTTAAAAAAAAATTACAGTATTAAAGTATTTAAAAAATTTTTATTAGGATGTATTTATTGTCTGGGGGATTCATCATGGCAATTTCAAATAGGTTTATAATGTATGTTGGTTAGATGGCCCGTACCATCTCCCTTGCGACCTCCTTCCCGCCCCACTTAAAGCAATTGCAAGAGGTTTCATCCTTCTATTTCATATATGCATATGAAGCCCATCACTATTGCACTTTTAATGTGATATGATAGACCAGAGTGGGGAAAACTCAGAAAGGGCTGTCTGCTAGACTTCTTGGCTTCTCTGTATGTATTCCTTTTTCTCAGGTATGGGGCAGGACCTTTTTGAAATGAGGGTCTTATGATCTATCAGACAAGCTAAGTCAGAGAATTTCTTTTTCTTTATGGCCCATGTATACACATAAGGCAGGGGTAGATTAGAGAACTACTTTTAAGCTTTATAGCAGAGGGGTTCAAATTACTATGACCTGTCTTGAGGAAGAATAATCTTTGGTTCTGACTGTCTTCCATGAGCTATGTCTGAAACATAGACACTCCTGTAACTTTCTGAAGTGTCCAAGCTACACCAGTTTTTTTGGTACTTACTTGCCAAGTACTACTGCTTTTGCTTGATGGCTGTGAGCCAACTGGCCCAAAGAGTTAATCACTAATATTAACTTAGCTCACA